CTACAGAGGCCCTAGAGTTCTGGCCCTGCTGAGGACTGAAGGAAACAGGTCATGAAGGTTGATGATAATTAAGCTGAGGAGCTGGCCACCACAATCTAGGCTAGATTGTGGTAAAAAGTCAAACTTAGAAGCAGCCTGTCAAATCTTGTGCGTACTTTTGAAGTGAGAGTCTGTTATCAGGATGAAATAGACTATGTTCTGCCATGGGCAGTTATTCTGCCATTGTTCTGACTTCTTTGGAGAGCGTAGAGGATCTCAGCCAACCATGCTGGTGGATGGCTGCTGCAACAGCAGCAAACACCTTTAGTACTGTATCGGTGCTGTGCTGAGCCATAGCTTTCTGATGAGAAGCTAAGGTGAGAGCTTACTGACAGAAAGACCATGGGATCTGTTGATGTTGTAGGGGAAGGAGATCCAAATAAGGTGCTGATCTATGCCACAAGAGCACCTGATAGGCTGCCATACAAGCATGGTAATGAATCATGCAAGTGAGTAGGCTAGCAGTGGGGTGGATCTTCTTATCACAGTGGACTGACTTGAGGTGCCTTAGCTTTCTTGGATTAAACAACTTTGACCACAATAAAGTTCAGTTTAGTAGGCTTAACTAACCACTCTGCTGAAAAGGTGCCTATGCCTGTTGCTCAACTGAGAAAAGCAGATCCTCTAAGCAATCAAGGAGGAAAAATTAGGTAACACATCCCCTATGGAAGCTGGGATGGAAAAGTCCTCCTCAAGAGTAGGAGAAATCTGCTACTCATAGGAGTCAGAATCTACATCAGGCTCATTGACTAGTTGCAGCTGAAAGGAAGCACCAGAATGAGCTTAGGAAAAAGTCTTATTAAACTCCAAAAAACCAAAAGAAGGGACTTCAAATCCTTGAGAAGGAAAGGAGGGTGCAGTTTGTGCCTATTCAAAATAGTAGCAACCTACCTGTTGAGCCATGGGCCAAGTGGCAGATGGGGCCCAAAAGACACAGTACTTACATTCTGAGCCGTCACTGAAGCTCCCAGGCGGCATGATGCAGAGGGAAGATAGTAGCCCGAAGGCCCCTCCAAGGAGTTATATTCCATGGGCTTAGACCCAAAGCCTTGGCTAGCCATCACTCACACAGGTGGCGTGGCTGCCTTGAGCCTCCCCTCCCCTGAGGGGGGCAAAAGCATGGCAGGGATCATTGCAGCCTGAAGGCCCCTCCAAGGAGTTATATGCCATGGGCTTGGACACAAAGCCTTGGCTAGCCATCACTCACACAGGTGGCGTGGCTGCCTTGAGCCTCCCCTCCCCTGAGGGGGGCAAAAGCATGGCAGGGATCGTTGCAGCGTCCACTGCCTGCTGGGGTAAATGGGGCAGGGAAAGCATGGGCAGTGAGAGCAAGCTGTCCTTCAAAAACAGAAACAGCTGAGATGCGTGGCTGCAACCCAAAACAAAGTTATTGGCACCAAGCCACAGTGGCATTTTGCTGCCACAAGCTCTACCAGTTCCTGGTTCTGTAAAGGGGTGGTAGGCTGTTTAAAAGTCTTCTTCCCTCCTGCTTTCTGAGCGAGGGGAACAGAAGAAAAGAAGGTAAGTTACTTCCCATTGCCAAAGGCAAGAAACACAAAGGGGGTGGGAGTCACCCTGGAGCAACTTCCCCCCATAAGCCATACATTTCAAAGAAAATGCCATACTGGCCTGAATAGGATAAACAAAGGTCCCAGAACACAAGTTGGAATTGCTGTCTGTTAGAGTAGTCAAACTGGAGTCCTTGAGTCAAACCAATAGTTGTTTTAGGAGAGAACACCGAGTTGTTGCTGCTTTCACGGAGAAAAGGAACTAAGGCTCCAAGCCCCGCTGCCTGGCTTTATTAGGAGTAGATGGGCGGGGCTGGAGTCCCTAATTAGGAAAAGCTTTCAAGAAAGATCCGAGTCAGCTGCGTGGACGCAGGGAAATACCACAGGTGTGGATTTCACAGTACCACGCAGAAGAAGGGAAGAAAGAGACAGGAAAAGACAGAAGGGAAAAAACCCCAAAGCCAAGAGAAGGCAAAAGATCAACTATAGTGTATGACCTTTTCTGGGTGTGGAAAGGAGAAAAAATGAGGAGGAGCTAGGGATCTGCTTCTGAGAAACCAAAATCAGATTGGCAAAATGAAAACAAAACAAGTAGTTTTGGTTCAGCAATTTCTGCAGCTTTGGCTTAAAGCAGCCCCCTGAAGGCCATTGGGCCTTTTAGCATTTGGATATATATTCCCTTTTTCTTTGTGGCTTCTGAAAATGTCAGAATTTGTTTCAATTCCAAATCCTGGCTTTCCCTATCTTTCTCTATTCCCTATCCTGGCTTTAAAGTACAAAGGGCTATAGCTGACACCATACTACACCAGGGTTCCTCACCTGTGGCCCATGGGCCCCATGTGGCCCAGGACGCCTATGAATACAGCCCAACACAAAAACGTAAATTTACTTTAATTTTTTTTTCAACTGAGTTGTGCAGTTCTCAAGTGCAACCTTTGTAAAATCAACAGAATGGAATGAAATAATCAGAGTGTGTTAAGCCTACAAATACAGGCAGTCCAGTCCCCGAGTTATAGATATCCAACATACAAATGCAACCCTAGTTAAGAAATTATCTCCTGCATTGGAGTATTCTCCATAATTCACATTATAATTGCAGAGTTCAGATAAAAGACCTGCTAGACAATTTTGAAAGACCCTTTGAACAGGATGATGCATCATTAGGATTATTATGTGCAGACTTATTTTGATAATTTGTGGTGGCAGATATCACAAAAAACTATGAATGGAAATTTTATTCCATTCATTGCTTATTAGCGTATTTTATGTGTGGCACAAGACAATTCTTCCAATGTGGCCCAGGGAAGTCAAAAGTTTTGACACCCTCATACTATGCTGAACACACCTATATGTATTGTGGATTGTGTTTTTATGTTTTTAAACTGTATACTGTTGTTTGTTATAAGTTGTTGTAAACCGTGTTGAGTCGCCGGCTAGGCTGAGTATAGCAAATAAATAAATAAATAAATAATCTCATCGGTTTTTGGAAGTTATGCCATGTCAGGTCAAGTTAGCATCTGAATGAGAGAGCACCTGATAAACCAGGACTCTCTAGTAAAGAATCCCATCTGAAACCTTGGAAAGTTGCCTACAGTCAGAACTGACAATATCAGCCAGGATAAACCAGTGTTGTGACTCAATATATGGTAGATTCCTAAATATGTCATAACAGAAATATGCAGTATTTAGGCCCCACTGTGTGCATTATGAATCAGGGTTAAAAGTCGTGCTAGTGCAGGGAAACCTCTTGGGTGAAACTTGGCAAGTCATGTTCTCTCAGAGGAAGGCAATGGCAAATGACCCTGAAGACACTTTGCTAAAAAAACTCCAGGACAGGGTGGCCATAAGTCAGAAATGACTTGAAGATATACAGCAACACTGGGCACTTTCCATACCTGCCACAGCATGTATTCGTATTCACTTTCTATCCCATACTAAGAATATCCATAAGGGAAATGACACATTCCAGCCTGAAGGACATTAAGAATTGCTTATGAAAATATCCTACTTTGCTAGTAATCAAATTCAGAATATTTTGTGTCTCAACATCACCTTCAAATAATATTATCCAGATGAAATAAACTCAGTGCTTGATTCCACAGTATGTGGCCCCCAAACATATGCAGGAAGCTTAACTGCCTGACTGGTCAATGAAAACTATCCATAATTTAGGGGATTTTCAGGACTGCACATTTGCAATATTCCAGGATATATCTAACCTTTCTTTATGCAAATTGCCACTTACATAGTCTGTAATAAACAAAGTTGGTGGGAAACAGAATTGCTTGACTTGCTTGACAGCTGAAAGGATGGATAAGCTTTCTGTAGTTGGCATGGAACTGGGTTATGGTATTTACTTTAAAACCAATGAATTGCTCCATTCATTGCTCAAACAATTTGGGTCAAAACAGACCTTAGGAAAGCAATGTAAATACAAGATGAGTATCCCATATCAGACATTTTTTATACCAGATGATATCAAAGATGGGTTTTTTTTGGATTTCAGTTTTTAATCACCCTTACTTTAAAACTCTTTCATAAATGGATGGACTCTGATGTCCTACATGTAGGTTACTTAGGAAGTTTTCCCTTTCTAATAGCTCCAGGAAGACATAGATATGTTGGAGTGTTGTCATTGTTAACATCAATGATGTTAAAAGTAAAGTGTAAGTCACATCAAAGAGTTGACTTAAAACACAAAAGAAGATAATCCGTTCAAAGTCTCCTGCCTCCAAAGCACGAGCTCTGTAGAAATAGCCTCTCCAGCACAAAGGTCTGGAGATTTATAAGATCTGAAGAGAAACTATCTGAGGAGAAAGGGTAAAACATTAAAAAACATAGTAAAACTGCACAATACTGCAAAATTGTACATGCTTACAGTATCTTTTCCTTCTTTTAAAAATCTGGGGTTTTATTTACAATCCCCCCTTAATAACATAATTAATTTACTTAGCTGTATCATTGCAGGAGCCCCTGGTGGTGCAATGGCTGAAACCCTTGTGCTGGCAGGATAGTCAACTGACAGGTTGGCGGTTTGAATCTGGGGAGTGGGGTAAGCTCCCGTCTGTCGAACTCTAGCTTCTCATGTGGGTACATGAGAGAAGCCTCCCACAGGATGGTAAAACATCAATCAATAAACTTGCCAGGATTTGAATGGGAAGTGTGGGCCTGGTTCTTGCTGCTGAGATAGTCAAGTTAATTAATATTGTTGTTGTTGTGTGCCTTCAAGTCATTTCAGTATAGGGTGACCCAAAGTCTAAAGTTTAGGGTAGGAGGTGGATAAAGGACCTTGGAGAGCTACATTCGTCCCACGGGTCTTAGTTTGGGAACCCCTGTTGTAGATGAAAACCTGGGCACACTTTTGTGTACACTCTCCAACCTGCGGAGAATTGTTTTTTAAAGAACACAGCTACCTTAGGGAAGCATTAGCCACAGAAGGTTTTAGACACCATGTTAAGAAACCAAATTTATTTGTAAAACAGGACCTGTATATAAAAATGCTGCACAATCAAGGTATACAAAAATACAAAATTTTAGTTTCTGATTACAATTCTAGTTGCAAGTTCAAACCAAAAATCATCTCTCTTCCTAAGGGAAAGCAAGAAACACAGGCTTGTGGAACCTGGCAAAGCAGGAGTTTCGATGATATCAAAGTGAGCCAAATCTGTGCCTCCTGTCTTGAAGGATGATTTCTGAAGCTGAGGTTAATGGGAATTAACCTCAGTGGAGCCACAATAAGTGACCCACCACTTTCCTTGCTTTGGAATCCAGCGTCTGTAGTTTTCAAGCAGCTGAGCCCAGGTTTCTTTCTGTTGTTGCCAAATACATTGACGTAAGCAGACTCTGTCTGAAGTCCAGTTTTACGGCAGAGCCACTGTACTTCCTTCCCCAAATTAAGGCTCCTCTTAACTCTCCTTCTAAATATTCTTACAGTAACATGTAATATATACATTGAAAGAGATTTAAAGCAGTGCTCTAGTTTAAGCCTAGACTAATGCCTTGGTTCCTGCTAACACACAAGCATTTCAACCAACAGACCTAATGAAGTATCACGATTCACGCTGGTCATGTTCAACAGGTGTCATGAAGGTGCTAAGCAGGAACAGCGGCCAATCTAGTTCGCTAGTCTTAAAATGCACTTCCACAATTGGTTTCTGTGACTGATAAAGAAAGGATTCTGCTTTTTCTCAACTGTCCTGAATTTTATTGCAAGTAGTCTGAAAAGATTTAGATGTCAGATGATTGATAAAAAAATGAAACTGAAGCATTTTAGTTACACAGCAAAGACCACCAATTAATTACAGAATGCTATGTTTCCTTCAGCAGCAATTAAAAAAAAAATGATCCTTTAAAGGAAGCACAGAATCAAAACAGCCATTTGTTTGTTTTTTAAAAAATCAAAACAGAAAACAACATAAACATTGGTGGCCATTCAGCTCTATTGGGTGTCCCTTCACCCATTTCTGTAACCATTTAGCTAAGCTTACCTAGAACAACAGCTCTCTTTTTCAAAAAGGTTTTCTTAAGGAGTGATCCACCTGTTGAGGCATTACTTCTCTCTTCTCCACATTTGCATTTAGTGCAATAAAGTTTAAAAATTCTGCTCTGAAATATTTAACTTTACATTAACAAAAATAGTTTTCTTAAAAAAATTGTAACAAAAAGGAATATATAGCATAAACAGATCATGAAATTATTCTCTGCAATTACACTATAAGCATTTACCATTACAAGAAGCCAAACAATGGAATACTAGCATTCATTATGAATTAAGTTTCAGGAATGAAGAAAGAAATGTAACACACAAAATATGGACAAGTTCTTGTTACTGGATAAAATGGAAGCTACCAACCAGCAATGAAGCTCTTCAAAAGGCCTCTGACCATCCATGCTGATAGGGACCAAGCCCTGTCAAACTTTGGAACCTTCTGGAAAGCAATGGTGATCGTGTTTCTGCTGTTCTGATTTATCTACACACTGTAGCAGGCCTACAAAACCTGTGGCCATCCAGGTGTTTTAGACTTCAGCTCCCAGAATTCCTGGCCATTGGACAAGCTAGCTAGAGCTTCTGGGAGTTGAAGTCCCAAAGCCTGGAGGGCTACAGGCTATGCTCAATAGCATTGCCTACACAAACAACAGACAAGCTGAGCAAAATTGTTCTGTAACTATATTACTTCAGGGCATTGGATGTGGGAACATCACAGTTAAAAATTTTCCCCTAAAAGGTCAGCCTCCATATTTGTGGGTTTGACTTTTATGGATTTGATTATTCGAGGATTTTATTCTAGGAGTCTCTATGTCAATTTCAGTCAGATTCTGACCACAAAGTTGCACTAGATGACCTATAGATTCCTAGGGAGATGCTTTGCTAGATATTTGTAAGTCCTTCTGCATGATTCTATGACCAACTTTTGAATAGAGTGCTGGAGGACCTACAAATGCCTACAATGTTCTTTCAGATAAAAAATATAGTGTTTTTAATAGGGGTTTTCATTCACTTCTTGGATGGTCCTCTGTGCCTAACCCCAGTGAATGTGATGGTCTACTGTAATAATAATAATAATAATAATAATAATAATAATAATAATAATAATAATAATTTTATTTATAATCTACCCTATCTCACCAAAGGGACGACTCAGGGCAGTTTACAGACAAAAGTAACAAAGTGGCAAACATTCATTGCCCAAACAAACAAACAAACAACAGCAGCAACAAATGCAGCCTGCATGTAAAATAGTAAACCATATCTGAGAGAAGGATTCCAATAACAATCTACTTAACACGTCAGCTTTCCATATGTAATGATTTTTGGGTGTGTAATCAGAGTCTTCAAGTATGTAACTCCTCACATCAAGAATTTGCAGTTTAATGTTGTACCTTCCTGGAACAGCATTACTACCTCATATGTTGGTCTATGGAATCTATATAAAGAACTAGCCAGCATTCTAAATTCTTTCCGACCATTCTCCCTAACAGATATAGCTACTGAGGTGCTCCAGAGGGTCTTGACACTGCGGTTCCTATGGTCCCAATGGCTGTATATATGGTAGGTGTAGTCCAAAATCTACACATCAGAATGTTTGACTATATGGAAGTTTGGCTATCTGGAGACTCTCAACTCATCTCATTACAGAGAGAAGCCATGTGCACTAAGATTTGACCTTGCAATGAATGAGCACTAGACCAAGTCTTGAAAGCAAATCAGGAGTAGAAAACTGAAAGGCTTCATTTCACTCCATTGTACAAATTCAAATTACAGTATTTTAGACCAAAAATGAGCACTGTCTTACAAGGGCATTAGAGCGTTAATCTGTCCATTACCAAGAGAATCCACTCACATAAACGTTTCAAGATCACCTCCCAGGTGCAAGTAGAATGAAGATACCTACTATATATCAAATGTCATCACTGATCAATTTGTTTTTGTGTGGCACTAACACAATTAAAAGTTCTATTGCCACAGAACCAAAAAGTAAGAAATGTTTTCCAGAATGGTCATTTAGCATGATTGAAGAACATAAATTCTTTGAATTAAGAGACCTAAATGGCATTCCTATGTGTTCTTACAACACAAAGGTGAATGACTAGAAATGGTCTGGGTATTTAAATGGGGCTGCATTGAATTCTTAGGCACTAGAAAGAAGGGAGGACTTAAAGTGCAGCATGCATGGGGACGAGAGATTGCTGAATGCTTCTTCCACCTACACTTTTTCTTCCACCTCTCTTTCCCCTGACAGGATGTAAGCACAGGAAAACATTGTGAGGGCAGGAAGGACAATAAAGACTAGTACTCTGGGAAGAGAAAAAAATAATCCACAGTTCACCCTGTACCTTTGATGCAGTTTAAATATCTCCCTCTCTATACTTAGTAGGAATCTGGTATTTTAACACACAGTTTGGGCCACTGTAAAATCCACTTTACTCCTAAAATAATTTAGATATGCTAAATTAAACCCTAGAAATGTGGAAAAATAAGCAAGACAGAAATATTGCTTTCTGGAAGCTTCTGAAGTATTCATGTGGCTCTCCGATACTATGAGCATGAATGTACAGAGGCTCTAAGAACTATGGTAGATACTAAGGCAGTGACATTTTAAGAAGATATTTACCTGCTCTTTCCCACAACACTCCATTAATTAGAAAACATATAATGAAACATGACCAAGAAATGATGTCAACAGTAAAGAAAACAAATAAATGACTTACAGTACTTTTTTTTTGTATAGTTGTACAGCTTTTCTCTTTTTTCCTAGCATCTTTCCATGTAGTCATGGATGACAGAGCAGAGCTAAGGCTGAGCTTTAGATGTCTGTTATTCATCCACTTATTTAAAGAATTTGCGTAATTGAAAAGAACAATGGAGTGCAAAGGACAATATTAAATTCAAGGGGAAAACTAAAGTAACACAGGACAAAAGTTGCATATAAAACTCGTCCTCCCTCATATGCCTTTAAGTTTGTCCTTCACAGATTCAGGGGCTGTCTCAATATCTAAATACCTGAGGAGTTGGTTAGGTTTTTTTTAATGCATTAGATAGAAATTGTCAAATGTGTTAATGAAAAAAAAAACTGGATAGGCTGAACTTTGTGAATCCTATTAGAATCCCATTGAAAAAGAGCAAGCAAAACCCAACATGATTAATGTATTATTCATTCCAGTTCTAAAAAAGAAAATAAATTTTATGAAGGATTTCTCCCCTCAAAACAGTCATTATCCATTGAGTTTTAAAGTGTTATGCTCATTAAAAATAACCAGGAGGGGAAATTATTTGACCCACTTGTTATTTCAAATCTGCATTCTTGCACAATACCTTTCAAATATTATGTTACCCTTCTCTAAATTATGAAATATCTCAATATTTTTACAATCATAACATTGCACAAACCACAATGATTAGATTTTTAAATGGAGCAATGATAAAAGTTGCTTGTAAAAGCCACCCGTATGAAAAGAGTACATGTTTCACAAAAATAATCATTAAAAAAGTATTAAATCCCTGTTCCTTTTCTCTGATTTTGGCTGCTTTTTAAATAATATATATATATATATAGATATATATAGAGATAGATAGATAAGATAGATATTGTTTTGGAATGTCAATGGTTTCCATAATGGCTGGCTAGCTTCAAGATGAACTTGCTCCAGAAGCCTAGGACAAAAAAGACAAGAAAGTTATATGTAAAAATTTTAGATGGTGAATAAGAAATCCATGTTTACATATATGGAAAAATATTAGTATAAAGGAACAGAAGAATTTCTGAAAAGTTATCTGCAGGCAAAGTTCGAGAAAGCAAATATAAAACAATATTCGGTCTGCTAAAGAATAAGGGGAGTTTCAGATACAGAATATTGTTTTAATATACATAGTACCAGTGTAATGTTATGATAGGACACATCTAGGCATGACTTTCCATGAACAGAACTAAAAGGACTTGTGCTAGGTGAGACCAAAGACCTATATCATATAATATTCTGCTTTCACCCATATCTATTCAATACATGGCATTTGCTATACTATACTTAGGCTATACATACACTTGCTATGGAAGCACATCATTAGATGAAAACAATTTGACCACTGTTTTTTTCTCCTCAGATCTTTGATTTGATACAGATGTCTTGGAAAATATACACGCAAGCAATTTATTACCTCTCTTAACACAGAGGACTGACATACCAACCCTATGGGTGCCAAAACATACATTTTTTCTCTCACACACAGAGACAGATGTTAAAACTCTGCTTTACCATAAGACAGGAAAATAAAGTCAAACATAGGTTTAAAGCAGTGGTTCTCAACCTGTGGGTCCCCAGGTGTTTTCGCCTACAACTCCCAGAAATCCTAACTGGTTTACCAGCTGTTAGGACTTCTGGGAATTGAAGGCCAAAACATCTGGGGACCCACCAGTTGAGAAGCACTGGTTTAAAGCATCTACATTTTCTTGTCATTTCTCCTATTCTAGGTGCTGTTTTGTTACCACAGTTTGAAATTGATTGGCGTTACAATAATGGTTTCACTCAGATAGAACAGCAAATGATGGTTTAATGTTATGGTATTAAAGCTTTGAGTCAGTGTGGTCCTCTTCTTTTATCCTTTGATGTCGATGTGACAAAGAGACTGGAAGCACCCACCTCCCAAACTCAGGGCACTTCAAACAGGTTAGTTAAAAGGCCATGACCACAAACCATTGCTTAAACCATGGCTTGATGGAACTGTAGTTTGGTTCAGATTTAACAACAATTGGCAACCAGTTTAAAATGAGAGTCTGTAACCAAAAAGAACTAAATTTGCATGTCGCAAATTTCTGCAGCAACCTCTCTCTATGTCAGCACCCATCTTATTTCCACTTGTACCACCATGATAAACACAACCAAAGCTGTTGTGCAAAAAGGGAACAATCATTCTACTAAAAGATACAATATATGATCTAATATTTCCAGCATCTTCTATTGCTCCCAATGATTCTTCTTTTCTCATATATTCACTACCTGTTCTTAGCTCATTGTGGGATATTATGAAAGTTGTAGAAGTTTCATTTGTGCATTATTAGACAATGTGTTTAGGTTACTTAATCCAAGTCAGTTTCTATGACTGATTTTTTTTTTTGCTCTAAATATATCATATAAGCTAACTCCCAAATGACCCAACTGGATGAAAGAGGCAGTATGTACATTGTAGATGTTTTGACTTCAATATCACAACAAAATACACAAATAGCTCAATTTTGTTTTACAGTTTTTTGACTTTTCTGATATCTGAGAATGTGATGGCTTACTTTTAAAAAGTGATTCCCTTTGAAAGTAAAACAAGGAAGAGTCTGAAACTGAGAAAGTCATATTTTTCTATAAGACACAACATCAAAATACAGAAAAAAGAATGACAAGGAGAGAAGGGAAAACAGAACACAAGAAATATTACTTTAGCAGGTTGAAAGGAGTAACTGTATCCACTTCCTTGGTTGGTGGGGATGATTACCCTTTGAAATGAGTGCTAAAACCAGGCTAAATAGAACTTGTTTATTTAGATGGAAATAATCGGGGAAGTAAAACAGCTCTCATTCTGAATCACCACTGATCTCCACAACCACAGATACTAGAAATTCAGTTACAGTAAGCAGAATGGTAGTGAATACTCATATTTACAATTTTTGCTCTTTGAAGTTAAAAGATTCACAAATGTGGCCATAATACAATTATCTACTCAGTGTTGGCCCATACATTTTAACAAGAGGTTAGCACACATTATGCCAGGCCCATCAACATTGAATTCAGGCACAAAAATAACATCACAGAAAGGGCACACAAGTACTTTGTTGGTTGTGCTTTATAACAGGAGTCCTTCAAGGCAAGGACTATTTCTCCTGCATGTGTCCAGCCCCTAGGGCACTGTCAATACTATTAGACATCTTTACTGTTGCGCTCTGAGGTTACAGAAACATTGCAAAAGAATGAAGATACAGTTCCTTTCAGCTTACTTTTATGGGAGATGGTCTCAGCTGTGACAAAAACTCTGCCATCCAGGTGATAGGCAAGCTCACAAACAGAAAAAGCAAAACATCCTGAGTGACACAAATGACAAAGACTTCTCCTGAAGTAGCACAGTCAGTGAAAATGGAAAGGGACAGGAAGTACAAGTGAAACTCCTGGAAGAGAGCAGCCATCTCTTCCTTCGAACCTACCATTGGTTTGAGTTCCCTGCCTTCAGGTCCACCTCCCCTGCCAGCTTCTTTCATTGCTTTTCTGCTGTTCTCCACAAATTCCTAAAATAACAGTTGGGGAAAAGTCCTGCATCATTTTTCTGTATCACAAATTCCAGGATAAAATGGCTAACCTTCTCCAAGGCAGTGAATCTTGTGGTTCAAAGACTGTCCCTAGTGCTGTTTCACTTAGTCATTTTAACCGGGGGTCCTTAAACTTTTTCCACTCATGATTCCTTTCCGCCTGAGAAGTTTTTACATGAGTCCAGGAATACAGGTACAGAAAATAGGTATAAAAATCAAAACTTTACTGATAATAGACCAACATTTGCAAGGCTTGCTAAATATGGTAAGTTAATTATCATTTTTGTGGAGTACAGCTGAAGCATCTTCTGCAGACTCCACTGCAAACCCTGTGCACCATTGCTAACAGATTTGTGTAAATGGTGCCCTTTAGAAACATTTACTGCTTCCAAATTTTTCATGATCCCAACATGTCCCCATTTGTGGTCAGGACCAACAGTTTAAGAAGCAGTGATTTAAACCACAACAAAAATTGAAGACGATACTGAAAAGCCAAATATGACTGCATTTGGATTTTATACCGAAGACACTACATCATGTCTCAGGGCACCTTTTAAATTTTAACTGAAAAAAATGTCATGTGTCTTCCATAATGCAACTGCTTGCTGTATGGGACTCTTAAAGAAACTGCTGGCCTTGATATGGATGCTTTCAAGCATTCTCCCGTATGTTGGATGTAAAATGTTCCACCCCCAAATCCTAATCAATATCAATAGTCAGTATCAAACTCAAACCCAAATCAAGAAAATCAGAATAGTGGTCTTTAGTGTGTGTAAAATCAACAGGCACTACTCTAGCAGTTTCTCCACTTTATAGCTCCTCATATTTAAATATTGGATAGGTACAGAATGTGAAAAGACACTTACCATAAGAACTTTGTCCATATAAAACTCCTTCCCTGGGCTGCCATCATTATATTTAGTGTCAATGGCAAAACATAAGAAAAGGACATCCACGACCATTTCATAAATCGACAGGAAGCAGTGAGCAACCAAGAATGCAAACAGGCAGACAATGATAAGTGGCAGGACCCATACTGTGTAGTCTCGCTGGTAATTCAGCAGCATGATCCCTGCCAAGCCTGTGCTGCAAACAATTAGGACCTAAAGAGAACAAACACAGATTCTAGTTGACTAGAAACATTATGAGCATTTCAGTGTTGCCGAATTTTCTCTTACTAAGATTGATTTTTAAATGTGACTAATTTATTCTATTTTTGTTAGTGATGAGAGGTAGGTTTAAATTAAAAATTGACAGAATTTTGTTTCTAATGCTACTCCTGGGCAATATGGGAATAAAAGTACAAAGCATTGGTTATGATCTTTAAAGCTCTATATTGGTTTGGGACAAGGTTACCTACAGGATCACCTTTTCTTGAATCATCTACCCCAAACATCTATAGAACATCCAAATGTGAGTTGAGATTTTTGATGTTGACATGAAACAAGGTCTGCTAACAACTGGGGGTTCCAAACAGATTGCTGTAGGAGTGATCACTCAGTGAGGCCAATATTTGCCAATAACTGATATAAGTCAGGGACAGAAAAAGTGCAGTCCATGAAATCCATGCCAAGCCCCCTCTGCAGCCATCAAATTCTCCTGGTTATTCTTCAGTTTAGAATCTGTAGATTCATTAAATATACCAGTATCATCGAAAGGAAGGTCTTCAATGACCGTCCTGGCAGAAGATAAGAGGCTGGATGAGTGAAGCCAAGTATGACGGCAAATTGCCACCACATGAGCCAGCATTTTACCAGCAGTAATAGCTGTGTGCTTCAAAAACTGAAACCAGTGATGCACCAAGAACAGAGCTCTTGCTGGAAGATGAACAGTGCAGTTTTGACCTCATCATCCAAACAGTCAAAGAAAGGAGCAATAGAGTCTCACAGATTTCTCTGGTTTACCATGCAGGCTCTATAGGTTGAAATGTGGGCCAACAATGCAGTGGCAGAGTAGATCTTCATTCCAATAGCATTGATATTTTTATTCTCCTTGTCTACCGGTACAAAATGAAGGCATTGGCTTGAGCGGGACTGAGTCTTGTCCACAATGATGGAGTTTGGCTTTGGATGGTGTGAAAGCTATGACAAGTCAAAATAATCGGTACCAAGTCTATACTTTCCTTGAAGTAGGTGCTTGGACGAGGATGCTTTCATCACTTGCAGCAAGTTAGGAGAGAATGGAAAGTATGCAGCAGAAGAGGCTACCCTTAGGGCATCTGTGGGTCATCAATGAACTGCATAGATTGCTTGACCTTGAGCCCCAATGCTGTGGACATTTGAAGGACCTACAGACTGTCTTTAGGAAACTGAGCATCAGTAAGCAAGACCCTCAGTTCTGGCGAGCAATTGAGAAAGCTGTAGCCGGATGACACATAGAAGCTAGCCTCTGATCATGGGGGTGAATAGGGTTCATAATCTTCATTGACGATGCGCAGTATACCCACAGTTGTGTGATTCACAGAGACCACAAAGAAGAAATTATTTTCTGCAGACACCAGAGTCTGAAAAATATCTATGTTCCTCAAAATTTTCCCTCATTTGTGAAAGGAAGATTAGTTTGATTCTATGACTTTTGCTCTATCTTTAATATATCTTTTAGAAAGGCAAAGCAAGTTTTCTAACATTTCTTTTGGAAATATCTACCCTAAAATCCTAATTTAATGAAAATATTTTAAATAAATTTTCAAGTGTGAATCCTGGTGTTTAAAATGAGTGAATCATGTGAAAATACATTCTACTTGATTTTGAAACCTGGCTTAAGCTAAAAAAACAAAGTGCTTGATAGGGGCAGCATATTTAACTAACAGTGAGGGACAGTTATGCAGTGCTAGTTTCATTTCATCTTACTGTGTCCTTTTCACCCATTTGAGAAATGTACCCATCTCACCATCTCAAGGATTGTCTCAAGGCCTTTGATAGTACATGGCACATCCATTTCAAGGAAACCTCACTGTGCAGTCCAATACGCTTAAGGCCATTATATCTAATTATTCACTTTCTCCTACTGCGATTTATTGACTTGTTTATTTGTAGAATTACACATTCTCCTTTCAGAAACTAAGTTGGTTCTAGTGTAAATCAATGAATTAATGTGAATAATGAGAAATGATAATTTATAACAGGTACCTCGGAGCCATAGCACGGATTTAAGCATGTTTGATTCTCAAGTCTATTATTGTGAAGCATTTTATTATTGTGGTTACATGCTGTCGGGTTGGCTTTAACAGACTGCAATTCTCTGAAGAAAAAACGTCCATGAGCTCCTGTTATTAACCTGACCTGCTTTTGGTCTTGCAATTAAGGCTATGGCTTCCTTGATTAAGTCCATCCACACATATTAGAGACTATTTCTTCCCATACTACTTTCATCATAACCTCAACAAGTGATGCATGTCATCCTATGATATGCCCAAAGTACAATAGCCACAGCTTAGTCATTTTGACTTCTACTGAAGAGTTAAGATTTGATCTGCCCTTACATCCTTTTATTTGTGTTTTTGGTAGTCCATAATTCTCACAAAACACTACATTTTAAATGAGTTAATTTTTCTCCCTGTCAGATTTTTTCTACATTCATTTTTCATAACCATATATTGAAATATGGCATGGATTATCCTTATGTATTCAATTTCTGCATTTGAGGATTTTATCTAGCTCCCTCATATCTACCCTTCAATATTTGTTTTGATTTTTAAAATATTGAACTGTAATTCTGATTTTACAATCCCTCCTTAACTTTCATCAGTAGGCATTCAAAGTCTTTGCTATTTTCTGTATTTCTTATATTACTGATTTCCCCCACCCCCCGCCGCCATTTTTACACCTCCAGCTTCTGAGTATCTGCTTTCTGTATAGATAAGATGTTTCTGCATTTAAATTCAACAGGTAGGTAATAAAACACACTCTTGTCAAACCTCTCCCAACTGAAAACTACTGTTTCTGCATGTTTTATCCTGAGAGTGGCCTCTTGTCCAGAGTAAAAGAAATGCACTTTGAAAAATGTTTTTAAAAATTGGGGACTGTAGGGAAAAATCATCAAAATAAGGTCCTCTTTTCACTATTCTTTTAACTCTTTTACTTCCTAGCCAGTTCCTCCCCAGTCTATTAATTGAAATGGTCAAAATCAATCACCCTTTGACTTCTCTTCAAATTGGAAATAAAGGCATAAGAATACAAGCTTATTGGGAGCAGGGAGCATTCTTTAGATCCTGCAATCTAATATCACGGCAGAAATTCAGCTTCCTGTTAATTTCAGCTTTTAATTAATAGTTCCAATGCCCCCATTAAATTTATTATCCTTATAACTAAGGCTATTGCATGTCTGTCAGTGATTGGTATTTTACTTTCACCCTGAGAACACTTCTTAAGTACAGGCTTTAATGTCATAGGACTCTGAGAGCCATCCACTAGCAGCAATGGCAAACCCCGGTTTGCCATTTCCCCGGACAATCTGATCAGATAAAAATCATGGTGAAGTCAACAAATATTAAGAGGAGACTATAATAGAGGAAGTATAAAGTGAAGAAGTATGATGAAGTGATATCACAAAGAAGCTCAGAAAGACTCCTAGTCCTACTGTAATTGAAGTTGATGAAAAATATACTGAAGGAAAGGTGTGACCCTCATTAGCATAAGATTCCTACCAAAAATGCTTCACACATTTCTGGAAGTTTCTGAAGTGGCTCTGTGCAGTTGCAACCACTATATGTGCAGCAACAGACAGAGAAGGGAAAAAAAGGATTTCCAGTAGTTGATGACCATGAATTCTGACTTTGACAACAGAACCAAACTAAATCATGGAACCTTATTTTTTTTAAAAAATACTCAAAAGAGAAAGGGAAAATACAAAAGCATACAAAATATACATCTCTTCAAAACTCATACTTTAACATTCTTATTTATTAATTACATTATTTCTATTCCAACTCATGTGAAAAAGTCTCAAGGTGGCATGTAGGTAAACGTTCTGCATAATTTATACATGATACATTGGGTACCTCAATAGGATTACTGTAATGCACTTTATGTGGGGCTGCCTTCAAGGAGTCTTTGAGAGGCATTAGTTGGTCCTAAATGAACTAGAAAGAGTGCTTATATGAAATTAAGATGATTTTAGAACATTTGTACTAACTATCAATATATTTGGGACACTATTCAAAGTGCAAGTAAAGTGCTACTCCCCCCAGAAAACTCATTTATTCTGACAATGGGCCTAAACTTGATTCCAGAGATCCTGCAAACATACTATTGTATGAGCTAATGAAGAAAGCTTTCTGGGTCCTGACATGATTTGTCAGGATGTGTGAGGGGTATTTTTTGCAACTTCACAACAATCTCCTTTCTCAAAGGTTCAGGAGGCTATCTTTCTTTTTAGCCTCTTATGCAAGATAAAGACAACTTGGTTCAGATGGGCTTCTTATTAACCTTGGTATTTTAAGCTAATGTTTTATCAACTATCTATCATGCTGGTTATTCTGTCTTAATGGTTTATTTGAACACTACTTTGAATGCTACTCTGTTAGGGGAAATATAGGAAGCATTAAAACAGAGTAAGTAAATAATCAACTATTTGGCATAAGATTAAGATTTTAAAAAAAAACTCTACAAGAATACACCACTTTGGATATACCTAAACAAAATGTCTGAGATGAATTCCCAACATTTTTGTCTCAATCCTACCTTTCCAAGGAAAAGCATGAAGTCTCCCACTGTATTTATGGCAGCCACTCGCAAAGCATTCTCCACTAGTATCACAAAGGCATCCTTTGCTGAGGTGCAGAAGTTGGTGCTGTTGATAGCAGTGGCTGTGTATGCATTCTAGGTAAAGAAAAGGGTAGTTTCAATTGTTAGATTCTTTTCTGCCCAACCTTATAGAATCGTATAGTTGGCAGAGACCTTGTGGGCTATCCAGTCCAAACCCCTGCCAAGAAGCAGGGAAATTGTCTTCAAAGCACCCTCTTCCTCACTTTTAGATACCTTCACAGATATTAATGTGAATTTTGTCAAGAAGATCCCTTCATCACCAAGTGACATTTAGTACACATGTGATTACGAAGAAAGGATAAGAAAATATTAGATTGGATTCCTAATTCAATCAAGTCAATGGGACTTAATATAGAAATGAGAACACCATTTCTGATGGCCCTGATGGATTGGATTGATTTGAACTTCCACTGTGCAAACAGTTTCACAATTTTGAAACTCACACAAAGATAACTTGCAATACTTTGTCATGCAAGTGGCATTTACATTTTACAACTATACAATGGAGGTTCCCCTTTGCAAAATAGCACCACCCAAAATGACAACCTGTGTGGGATTTTTATTCTGTCAAAACTGAGTCGGATTTAGGCTGATGTGTCTAATCTTTCTCTAAGTCACAAAAATCAGGGTGCAAATTATTACAGACAGATTAGAGTATGTGCGTGTGAGGGAGCTTTGTACAATTTTAAACCTTGACCTATTTCAAGTAAGACATGAAGCATTAGATTCTCATAAATTGTAGGTGGAAATCACATGGCCCTCCCAATGTTTTTGGACTGCAATTTGCAAGAATAACTAGTGGTGAGGGATAATGGGAATTGCAGTCCAACAGCAGCTGGAGGGCTAGGCAAATCCCAAGTCATTCCCCCCAAATCATTCAACGTAAGCTCTCTAAAATTAGAAGTGACACACTGTAAAATGATTACTATTCAGAATGAATTCAAGCTGCTTATGCAAAACAGTGAAAACATATTCACATCTTGCTAAACCATAGTGTAATATGACATCTGAATACAGCTCTTGGATATTAACTGGGAACTGACCCATGAGGTCAAGTGTAACAAGACTCCTCTTGTTAACAGAATTGCAATACATGACAGTGAATTACTCAGAGAAATAATAAGAGAAACAGGACAGGACAGGAAAAAGTGAAGGAGGGAAGAGCATATTGCCATTACGTTTGAAGATATAAGCTTTCAAATGCATGGAGGGTGTAGGATAACTTCCATGTATTCATTTTTCAGGAATTTTACCTACTTAAAACTGATCGGAGAGATGGATGTATAAAGATGTATATCCTCACATCTGGTAGATGTGAAAAACAGTACATTAAGCAAAACTACTCATATATACTCAAGTATAAGCCAACCCGGATATAAGCCGAGGCACCTCATTTTATCAAAAAAACAACTGGGGAAAAATATTGACTCAAGTTAAGCCGAGGGTGGGAAATGCAGAAGCTACTGGTAAATTTCAAAATAAAAATAGATACCAATAAAATTACATTAATTGAGGCAACCATAGGTTAAATTTTTTGAATATTTACATAAACTATAATTTAAGATAAGACTGCCCAACTCTGATTAAACCATTATTCTAATTGTCTTCAATATAAATGTGCTTATGTATCCTTCCAATAATAATAGAGTAAAATAATAACAATAATAATAGAATAAAATAATGGAAATGTAATCATAACAGTCATAATAGAGTAAAATAATAAATGTAATAATAATAGATTAAAATAATGGAAATGTAATAAAACAATAGATTAAAATAATGTAAATATAATGTTGTTGTTGTTGTTCATTCGTTCAGTCGTCTCCGACTCTTCGTGACCTCATGGACCACCCACGCCAGAGCTCCCTGTCGGCCGTCACCACCCCCAGCTCCTTCAAGGTCAGTCCAGTCACTTCAAGGATGCCATCCATCCATCCTGCCCTTGGTCGGCCCCTCTTCCTTTTGCCTTCCACTTTCCCCAGCATAATTGTCTTCTCTAGGCTTTCCTGTCTCCTCATGATGTGGCCAAAGTACTTCAACTTTGTCTCTAATATCTTTCCCTCCAATGAGCAGTCGGGCTTTATTTCCTGGAGGATGGACTGGTTGGATCTTCTCGCAGTCCAAGGCACTCTCAGAACTTTCCTCCAACACCACAGCTCAAAAGCATCGATCTTCCTTCGCTCAGCCTTCCCTAAGGTCCAGCTCTCACATCCGTAGGTGACTACAGGGAATACCATGGCTTTGACTAGGCGGATCTTTGTTGCCAGTCTGATGTCTCTACTCTTTACGATTTTATCGAGACTGGGCATTGCTCTCCTCCCAAGAAGTGTCTTCTGATTTCCTGGCCGCAGTCTGCATCTGCAGTAATCTTTGCGCCTAGAAATACAAAGTCTGTCATGGCCTCATTTCTATTTTCTCCAGCAAAGGATCACCGCCTTGTCGGGGCGCTGGAGCTTGAGCACCTCAATGATGTCATGAGCGAAACCGTGAAGGGCCACCCAAGACGGGACGGTTGTGGCAGAGAGGTCAGACCAAGCGTGATCCCTGGGGAAGGCAATGGCAAACCACTCCAGTATCCTTGCCAAGAAAACTAAATGGACCAGTAAATATAATAGTAATTATAATATTAAATAGAGTAAAATAATAGATGTAATAAAATAATAAGAATAGAGTAAAATAATGAATAACTTTGACTCGAATATCAGCGGGGGGGGGGGGGGCTTTTTCAGCCTAAAAAAAGGACTGAAAAACTCAGCTTATACTCTAGTATATACAGTATTCACACAACAGTGACAGAATGTTGTTGGAGCAAAAGAGGAAAAATGGTAAAACTGCAAAGGAAATCCTAACCAAACAGATGTGTATGGAATTATTATTAGTTTATTGCAATTCACTGTATTTTTCCTTCAAGGAAAAATGCAGGATAGGTATACTGTATAGAGGAGGAAAATGTTAAGACTGCGATAAACTGCAATAAACACATACTACGATTTCTCCTGTCAATCACTGCACAGATTTGTTTCAGTATTGAACCTGATTGCATCACTGTGGCTTCTCATCTAAACTATTAGATTTGCTCTTATATACAGTCAAGGACCTTTGAGAGATCACAATGTACCTTAATATAAGCAAAGACTCTACATATACTGTACGTAAGTGCATTTAAATAGTAGCACACCAATTGGTTATTCCAGGGGAAATATTTCATCCTCCGTTTTAAATTTGATTGGAAGCAAGGCTAAGGTTCCATTTCCCAGGCTTTTCTTTTTTAAAATGACAAGAGATCTTACCTGATTTAAGTAAGTCAGGCACTTTTCTAGACACCAAAGGCAGCAAATGCAGGCTTTCAGAATACATCGAGCACAGGCATTTTCCTAGGAGAAGGGGAGTAGAAAGGAAAACAGAAAGGAAATTTTAATGGAAGAAAGGAAGTGTTACATGCTCAGTTATATTACGATGTGGGATACTTTTCAAATAGCAACATACTTCAAATACAAATTTTATTTTATCCTGGTATTTTTTTTTGTACTAATAGAACCAAGTTTTAATTTGATGCTTCTTGTAGCTAGATGCTAGACACACATCTGAATCATCCACTTTTTCTCTCAGTGCAACCTCCCTCCAGTTTACATGTCCATTCAGAGAAACCTCAATGTGAACCAGGTGGTAGAAGGAACAAGAGGCAACTACTTGTTCCTTAACCATAGCAAGAGTTACTGCAGTGATTTCCAAATCAGATTTCTCTACATACATTCTGGACCACACCAGGCACTTTGGACAAGGTCTTGGGGCCCACACAATTCATTATCCCAACTCTACAGTGACCAAAAATTCATCTTTTTCTGCACTGCAACCTAAAAAACTACAAAGGAATCCTGCTAAACCCCACCGTGCCTGGAATTATTTCCTGGACCACTTCCTAAAAATCGTGTAGTACTGTCAAGAACATTGGAATCCTCTCTCTGTATTCATTTCTGAAGTACACCAAAGTACTGTGGCTGCAAAGGATGTACCATGATAGCAATAATTTATCTTTTTGACACAGACTACATTTTAAATCATGAGAGATCGAATAATGTCACATACAACTCATACTACGTATGGACACATAAATAGTCCAAAGACAATATGTGTGCGGTCAACAACAACAAAAATTATTCCTTCCTCGCCACTGTTTTCTACACTTGACGACTCCATGGAAATGGTTCTTTCTTGAACTCGAGAAGCTAAATAATGGAATTCTTTTATTTACTAGAGAGAAAATGTCATTTTTCTTCTAAGTTTTCCTTTACAACTTTGTTTTCTGGTGTGCTGATTCTACAACAAAATTTGCTGTCTTATAGACTGAAGCAGAATAAGACGTTATTGGCCACAAGTTCAGCGTGACTAGTTTTTGGAATGATCAGGTTTGTCACTGAGAAACCTAACACTGAACTACTCAGCTTACAGGTGGACAACAACCAGTGGCATATGGCTATGTCTAACCTGGTGAGACCTTGGTGGCGTTCCTACATTCAGTCTGTTCAATTCTTCCCAGACCCTCTCCCCAATGTCTAATATAGTTCCCAGAGGCATCTGGGAGGGAGTCACAAGTAGCTACTTTCTCCTTCTTTTGTCTTTCCTTATCTGATTTAGTACTGTATGGGCTTTTTTGAAAAACATAAAAACCTACAAAGAAAACTAAAGCATGCTAGGGGGGTAATGACAGGCACAAGATAGCTAATTAAGCCTTCATGGTTTCAGGGGGTAAAATGACTCACTTTTTCTAAAGAAAACTGGGGGAATCACAGGGACTTTGGGGCATAAAAATGACCCTAGAGGGGCTGTGTGGAGCTAAAATAGACCTTTGCTTTGACCCACAAAGAAACCTACATTATACTGAATTTTTTCTTCACTCAATTTCACCAATCCCAATATATGCAACAAACCCCTCCTTACTTTTCCTTTGACTTGTGTATGAATATACATTAGTATCATCCGTGGAATCTTCACTAAGGTAATAATGAAAGACCCTTTTGCCACAGTTCCTAGGTGGTAACAGATCAAGCGATTGACAGATGCCAAAATAGGCGTGAATGGCAAATTTCTTTTTTCCCTGTGTGGAAGAAAAAGAAAAAAAAACTCACAATGATAATAGATACCAGGAGCAGCCAAAATGACTATGGCTCAGGGAGCCCAATGAACTATGAAGGACCTTAAAGGTTATACATTTGATAGTTGTGAATCCTGCAACCATATAAATTACAGTGATAGCTCTGTACATCAGTCTCAAGGTTGACTGAGACTTCAATCTGTAAAGGCTTTGCAGAAATTTAAAGACAATACGCACATTAAGGAGGCAAAAACAATGTGGCAATATGTCTTGTTTATTATTGTGGTAACTAGTCTCATACATTTCTTTGCTCTGTCTGAGTCTTCATGTATCTCATCATGTTGGTCCCACTTGGTTTTTCAATCACTCCAAGGACACGCTTCATTAGCAAAGTAAGTCTTTCACTACACACAGAATCCAAGTTTTGTGTGCATTTTGGCAAACAAAATGAAAACACCAATTTACATATATGTAAATAACTTTAAAATTATTAAATTTCCCATGAAAATTTAAATAGATGCAGGCTCCAAAGATTTTTGAATCCAGCTTTAAGCCCTGTGTGCTGATTCAGACATTAATCTTCACTGTGCATAAGGACCAAGCACTCATTACTTATTCATCATTGCTGCAGTCTTGTATACTCTCAACCTTGGGAATAGTTCAAATCGGTTTCTCGTTGCATCTGAATTTGGACATTGTTTTAATAACTGTTTAAACATTTAACATTTTGAACAACACCTCTCCGAATTCTCAATTTTGTGAGTTATAGCTCGTAAGAATAATTTTCCAACTTCTGGTTTTAACTGATGTTAGTAAGTGAAATTCTAAAATACAGATGCTCAGCTCTTATAGCAATAAGAAACTGTGCTTACATGAAGGGATGGGGGATTTTTGGAGGTCCCTTCAATCACAAAAAACAAAAATGACAAGAAAATACTCATTCAATACAACCTAAAGGATTGGGAGGGGTTTTTTTTTTTTCATATTTTGGCAGGCCTCTGGTCATTTTAAGCTCCTTTACTGCAGATAATGACAGGAAGGCATATCACTTTCTGTTAAAAACAGTGCCTTTCCTTGGTTGAAAATTACCAGGATGATGGGGGAAATCATGGTGAAATTGTCCCCATTGCCAAGAGAGCATTAGGGGACAGTATTTTGGGATAAAATATAAATATATTTTTTAAAAATGTTGGGGGTGGAGGATGCTGGAAGTACTAGCCAACAAAAAGCCCATGCACCACATTGTCCCTAATTTTTGTTTAAATAACCCCAAAGACCCCCACACATACAAACATACACAAAGGGATGATCATGTGCACATGTATCTCTCTAGTGACCTCTGAAGATTCAATTTAAGGAGGAACTAGAATGAGAGCAAAAATCCCTCTTGGGGGGGGGGGGGCTTTAATCTACAAAAGGCACTATGTATTGCTAATTTAAATTGGCCTATTCAGATAGTCTCTGAGGTACAAACATCCAACTTACATATGACTCAGGAAAAGAGAGGAAATCTACCCCTAGGAAGAGAAATTCACTCCTGTAAATGTTATCATGGGAGAAAGGTGTCTACATTGAAGTTTCATCACCCATCCTTGTTTCCATGGCAACCCAAAATTGTCAAAATCCAATTGTGATAGGGACAGAAAGTAAGGTGAAATCTTCTGAATAAGGGCACAGACAGCAAAACATATATTACCCTTCCCTATGCTATCCCAAACTTAAAAATATTTTTGGCTGGAGTTACACTTGAACAATGTACGTGTTCCGATTTACATACAAATTCAACTTAAGCAGAAATCTATCGAATCCATCTTGTTTTTAAACCGGGGACTGCCTGTACTCAGAAGAGGTATTTACTTATCTGCTTTGTTTTTTCCCCCACTCTTAGATTATTTGTTAAATTCACTGCATAATGAAGAATTCCTTGCCCATCGTCCAACTATTGTCTTACTTCTTCTCAAGTATCTGCCTGTTTTCATTATATAAAATGAGTACAAGTCAGTCCCCATTAAAGTAGAAATATGAAATCAACAGAAACTTAGTAAGTAACATCTATATAAGTACTATTGAGTGAATAGGTTTACTTATACTACAGGACTAGAAAAATCTTTTGTGTGGACTAGAATAAAAAATATTTATTTATTTATTATTTATTTATTTAAAACATCTATATTCCGCCTTCTCACCCCAAAGGGGAATCAGGGCGGAACACAGAATATACACGGCAAACATTCAATGCCGGGACACAAATTCACATACAATACATAAACATTAAAAACATTTATCAAAATATTAAAATACATCATTTGAAGCCATCCTAGTCATCCGCATCAAATCTAATTGGCCTAATAGTTATCCGCATCAAATCTAATAGAGAGCAACTACCATGGGATTATACAATGAATACAAAATAATAATACATTTTGCACACCAGGTCAATGCTTGGCTCTCCCTAATACATGTAATACACCAGAGTATGGGTTATTGGGGCAATGCTATTTCCAGTCAGTAAGATTTATTTATTTATTTACAGTATTTCTATCCTGCCTTTCTCAACCCAAAGGCGACTCAAGGCGGCTTACTATATATATGGCAGCTGCTATAACTTGGAATGCAATGTTGGATCATGAACATAACATGAACCTAATAATTTAGAGAGGCATCGGCAGTAGCCACGGGTTAGGAAGTGATTGGCCTCCTATAGATCAGTGGAAAAGTGCATCCCTGCATTTTTTTAAAGCAACTCTGCCATTATTGGGAACCTTCCTGACCTATTTTAGAACTAGAGGGGATGAGAACATATGATTTTTTTAACATGCTCCCAAGAAATATGACAAATGATTTTACAAAAAAATTGCAATAAGAAGTGTTTTTGCAATAAACAAACAAACAAACAAATAAAAATCAGAGAGACCTCAAAATAGCTGATCCTCCCTCACGCCCTTACCCAAAGGACTGTATCTCAGTGAATCCCATAGGACTTATTTGTGAGAATGCATTGGGTTTATATTATCTGCCCAGTCCCAGATACTTTAAAGACCAAGTCTCTAATGATTGAATTGTCTCAGAATCTCTCACCTTGTAAAATAATATGTCACAACAGCTCCTGCTACAGTCATCTGCTGACAGGCAAGGATAAATTCACTAATCCAGACTAAACCCACAACATGATACCACCACATGTACCTCAGTGGGCCTGCAACTCGGAATTCCACAAAGCCCTGTTCATTTTTGACTGGGCTACCTAGAAGATGAAAGAAGGGAAAGGGAAGAAGGAAAATTCATTCTACAAGAACACATCATTTTCTATATTCAAATAAAGATGTTAAATATACACTGCACTGCATCACTTTATGTGATAATCATGAATTCTTATTTTAAAAATCCCACTTGTGTCCTTATCTTTAAAAAATCACCTTAACCTTGTTAACAGATATCAGTGAAAATATTACAACAAATCAAAACATACTTGGTGTTGTCAAACATATAAAAGTAGTCAGGATATAAACATCCCATCATCACAATTTTCTGGCCTGCAAGCTCTGTAGAAAATGTCTTTAGTAAAAAGTAGAAGTCACACGTATGGGATCAAATGCACTTTCTTCAGGAAGATATACCTTAGTTGTAGTCTCAAAACCAGAGATCCCCCTCATGGATAAGCTCCCACAGTGTCAAAAATGGTAGGAATACAAAGAGGGCTTCTGAAACTGACTGAAGGGGTTAGACAAGAACATCAGGATGGAGATGGTTTTTCAGGTATCCTGGTGCCTGACTAATCCTAGGGTGCATCTACACTGTAAAACTGATGCAGTTTGACATCCCCAGGAATTGCAGTTTTACAACGTCTTCAGCCTCTTTGCCAAATTGTTCCAGTGCCTCACTAAACTACAACTCCCATGATTCCATAGCATTAAACCAAGGCAGTTAAAGTGGTCTCAAATTGTGTTGATTGTGTAGTATAAATGCATTCCTAGTCTTAAAAGCTACAACAAGCACTTTAAACCAAGTTTAGAAACCAAACTATGATTAGTGAAGATCTTTAAATGCTGTAATATTTATGCCCATGACAGATCTGGTAATCAGTGATTAAGAGGGGACTAAGCTGGGACAAATAGTGTCATGTTTTATTGCAGAATCCACACAGATATAGACTAAGGCATTCTACAACATTGTAGACTTGCAAACCATGTCCCCAAACCTCAATCATTGCCAACACACGTTTGTTTCCTAAAATCGAAATTATTGTCCCAGATTTGTTATCTGGGACAATAATAAATCTAATGATCTTTGCTACTGAGGTTCTTCTTAGTTCAGTTAACATGTGTATTGAGGATAAAAAATATCCAAAGAAGATTTCAGCAAACTATGATGTAGTAAAGTAGAAATGACAACCCAGTTGTCACTAGGTTATCTTCATTTACGGAAAATTGATTTTTTTGAAATAAAACAACTGAATTCATGGGAAGTAGAAAATATACTACAGGAAATGGCATTAATTTTTAAATTTTTACTTTAAGTCCACTTTGTGTTTTCCACCAGAGTCAAACACGTTTAATTCTGCACACACAACCCCTCATTTGGATATAGGACAATTTCATACACTAGAATTCTCACTGGCATGACAACCCCACAATACATAGAAAATTATTTTTTTCTTGAAATTAAAATTGTAATGCGATTGTGAACAAATGTGTGGTCCAGGATCCAATTTCATAACCCTATGAAAGTACGAGAGCACAATGATGCCCTCCTACTGAAAAAAATCTAAACTGGCAATGCTCAGTAGTCTGTTTCTGGTATAAGTTTTATTCTAAAACAACTGATTTAAAAGAACTGCCACCCTGGTAGGGTTCCAGTAGCAATCACAACAATTCTCTATTTTTGACACACACACAAAATTCTGGCAGATGGCACAAGAAAATGTCTTGCTGCGGCAAAAATGGCCTTGGATGCATGAGTCCCAGCTCTGTACGTAAGAGTTAATGTGACTATTATATTCTGCATTGACTGATGTTTTTAAGCACTATTCCTACAAAAGCTAAAGAGAATGGAGCAATTCTTGTTCATCTACATTTATGTGAAACCACATCTCAGGAAATCCATAAAAATATTACAGATGATGTGCTTACACATACATACAAAAAACACAAACCATGCCTTGTTTCGTTTTCTTGTCAGTTACTTTAAAGTATGTGTGCTCAATCCCCTAAATTTCATTTACTTGCATAAGCATAATACAATCAAATTACAGAAAATAGCTTCTAAAATATATAGAACATACCTGTGGTACCTAGGAAGAGCAAGACTGTGATCCAATATACCCAGAAAAGCATGAGGGCAAAAAAGGTCCAAAATGGCTGGAAGACGAGCAGTGGCAGGTGAATGAAGACCTTTCCAGCCACGTGGAACAAGGCAATTGTGAGAGCTACTCGTTTACGCATAACTAACATTATCAGCAGTAAAATAACCTGGAGAAGAAAGGAAATTCTACATCATATTTTATACTAATTTTATGTACTGAAGTCAAATAGCCTTCCTATGCATAACTCTGCATCCAAACTTCACATATAGTAGACTTAGTCCCTGACAAAATGGAGGACATTATCCTTATTTTAACAAACACCAATTAAAACAATGGATATTTAGGGAACTGCATATAACAATTGATTTTCAATAGAGTATATCTCTCAAGGAAACTTGGATTTACAACAGAATATATATCTCAAGGAAACTTGCAGCCATTCTTTTCTAATCTTATCTGAACGATAAACATTTTATCATATTTATTTAGACATCCTGAGGAAATCATGCTGGAAGCAATTAACTAAAATAAATGAGTCTCAAGTTTGCCATGTGTCTGTCTACTACACTATGTAACATGACTTTTGTTCCAGGATTATACATGTCATTTCCTAATTGGTTCTATCATAAAAACATGGGAAATGTCGATTAAACTGCTAAAACGTTGTTTTTGAGGGACATCGTGCAGCACATTTTTCTATAGTTTTTCAATTACTATCTCATCGAGTCTCTGTCAATTCAACATAGTTTGTGGCAGCCACAAAAACAAAGTTTCTAGAATATAACAACTACTTTCAAAGTAAGTACCATACAATTAAACAGGAAATAACACTTTCAAACCAGGAACAGGTTTTTTTTAAAAAAAATTGTTACACAGTGCTACTGATATAATTAATTGTGTAAATACATCTTCAGACTGATTACAACTTCAACCAAATACGATTTTAACTTAAAAAAAAAAAACAACCTTTCTCTGAAAGTCTAAAAGGCAAACAGTATATATGACATTAAGTCCTTGTGATTGAATGAAATATTTCTGAAGCAGAGGTCAATTTGTCAGTTAATATTCCTAACAGGCAAACCTTTTCCAAGAAGCACAGTTATTTTACTTGATGGCTGTGACAGGGTTACCCTAAGAGAAATTATTAAATTATTAACTAGTTTTCATATTAGTGAAATGATCAAAGAATTATGTATGACTAACTACCCATGATAGGACACTTCAAGACAGAAATATACCAGAAAAAGAAAAAAAATGGGAAAGAGTAAATCAAGTAAAAGATGCTTTTTATGAAGACCAATTACAAAATAACCTTCTAAAGAATAACTGTTCAAAAGAGCTAAATCTAATTTTTATTACCTAACTGAAAAGAATGGGAGTTATTCATCACACCTAATAATCCCATTGATTGGTTAGACTAATGTTAGTTCAAAACCATAAAATATAAATTATGAATTGATAAGAAAAACTGCTTATACTATCATTTGAGATCCAATTTTGGTCTTCATTGTGTCCAATATTGTGTATGACCATGTGCAAGAAAGTCACAATTTGGAGAAGCGGCATAATGCAAGATAAGATAACAACAATTGTTTTCTATTCTCCCCTTTGCAGTAAAAGATGCTTCTTCACATAAGAAGCATTCTTAACTGCACACCTATTAAATACTTACTGTAAAGACTGTAGCTGCAATGGCATAGATCAAGAGGGCCTGGCGATTGTCTTTGGCTATTTGAAGTTGATCAACAGTAAGAGTGTCACTGGGAGACTTCTGCTTAGCATATAGCCACCACAATACTCCTGTGCCACCTGTGTCCATGGAAAAGAAGAAAAAGAAAAGGCACAGTTGCAATGGCAACAGATATGCATGGGGCATTCAAGAAACACAATGGCTTTGGCCAATTTCATTTTTTTACTATGATGGTTGTACCTGTCATATTACAACATAAAATGTGAAGATAAAATTGTACTTGTCAACAGGGACTGCCTCTTCAAGACATCTTGAAAATAAAGATGGGAGGGAAAGAATTTGAGGCAAACCAGTTGATGGACCGAGATATAGTAAATAGCAGCATTACCAGAATCTGAACTAGTACATCACACTGCTACAGCTATGCTATTCTTACATTCTCATGGCTTGAGATCAGCAAATGCCTCTTTCCATTGTATTTCCCTTTTTTAATTCAACATTGGGAACTAGGGTGATCATTGATTGCTGCTCTGATGACTGCCGAAACAATAGTTTGTTCTCAATCTCAGACTCTTTTTTGCCATCAGGTGAACATTTTCAATATATTCAATAAATATTGGTTTTCTGGTCTTTTTGTTGATCCTTTCAAGCAGGGTTATCCATTTTAACATTCTCAAAAGCAAACTTTAACCTTGCCATTTTATTTAAGAGACAGCATTTCAGTTAAGAAAATCAAACCCCAGTGAATACCAAGGATTCACTGTACCATCTTCTTTGGTGAGGTCAACCTGCCCACACATCTTGATGTGGGAAGATTTCTTTTTATCTGCATTGTCACAGGCTAGAGGAAAAGGTCTGTTCAGAGGTGGGAATCCCTGCTCCTCATATTCACCACTGTCAGGTATCTGCCTTTCCTCCATCACATTTAACAAAGGTCTCATACAAAAATCATTATGCAAGGGAGGCTTTGCTACAATAGCTTCCTACGGTGTATCAGATGAATTAAGAGTAAGTTCAATCAATACCACTTTCAAAATGTCATAGCTTTGAATCTTGTTTCTCTAATATTTCCTTCCCCACAACTTTTTTTACTCGATAAAGTGTTATTCCCTGACTTCATTCATGAGAAGCCATTCTGTAGCATAAGCAACGCCACTGCTTTGATCCTTTATTAGTTTTATCCTTATTGAGCCTAATGAAACCCTAAACCCTGATAACGACCAGACAGATACTCTTTGTAAGGGCATAACTTTTAATTATTCTCAATATTACAGAGGTTGCAAATCAATTGTTCCTCACATAGAAGGTGAATGTTTCAGAGGCAAGAATAATCAAGAGAAGCACCACAGCCTCTTTTAACTGGCACAAAACATAATTTCACACTTCTAGCATTAAAGAGCTATTTTCAACAATGAATCAGTGGGGCAAGTTTTGGCAAAAATGGGTCCTCCTTTATTTTGAATTCCTAAATTAAAATACAGGGTTACCTAGTATAGACTATTTCTTGAACTCAACTCAGACAGATGATCCAGGCCTACCCAGTTAATGCTGACCTGCATTTAATGAATAAAATTTAAGCTGAATTTTACCTGTGCGTAATTGTTGTGTGTGTGAGAGAGAACTTTGTTTTGCACCACTGTTTTAACTATTTTGTACCCCGCATCATGTCACAAGGAGATGCAGGTAATAAATAAACAAATTATTGTTATTGTTACATACACAAAGAATGGAAAATGTTGTTTTAGCATAAAGAAGACAACACTAACAAACTGTGATCAAACTACCAGGGGTAGGCTGCACGATTACATTCTTCTGCTCCCAATATGCCCTTTCTGGGGCATTTCTTTGATTCTTCTGCCATAATTGTGGTTAATCATCACATTGTCATCAATATTAACAGTGATCAGGACCAACCCAGATTCTTCCTTAATGTGAATTTAAGACTTTTTTCATATCTTCATATACTTTCGCACTAAATTTACTGGTGGTAATTTAATGTTTGCCTGTGATAAATGCAGTTGGGGTGTAAATCATCATACAGGCCACTCGCTTCTAATTTATTTAAATAATCTGGAGCACTCTGAAAACAAGGAATGAGAATCAAGTCCTTTGTTACTCAATTTAATATTCTTACCCAAAACCGTAAAACTGACAATGAATTTGGCTCTTCTCTTGATGTTTGTTCTTCCCTTTCTTTGGCTATCCATATTTCCTGCTTGATTTCATTCACCAAGGGAGCTTCTAGGTTTACAACTGACCAACTGTACTGGGCTTTTGAAAGCACTACAGCAAACATAATATCTTATTCAGGAAGCCATGTTACATCTGTGAGCTCTCTGGTGCTCCCCAGGTCATTCATGGCAATTGATAAGGCTTGCTCAAGAGTTATATTGCTTCCTTAATACATGGAAACAAAATCCTAATTATAAAACAAGAATTAGAGAAGAGGATTTTTAAAGAGAGTTTTACTTTCTCTGTCCAAATGTTTTCAGATGTCTAGAAGTCCTGTAAACATCACTCACACAAATATCCTATCCAGATAATGGAAGGAGAATAGTCTTGTTATACCCAAATAACCTGTTTACCAGATTCTCACCTTACCCTTCCTCAGCTTAAATTTAAAAACAAAATAGGCACTTCAGCACCTGAGAAATGAAGCCCAACACCTAAAAATAAACAATACAAAGGGAAAGAGAGCAATGTTTCCAAAATAAAGAGATTTGCCAAATTTGAAAAATTACATAGAACAGAAGGCCAGTATTGGTCATGAACCATGTAGTTAACCTCTGGAATTTAAAATACAACATGTTTACACAATCAACAGCTTCAAAGGCTTTCAAATGTTACTACACAAATGGCTAGAGAGCAGGTATATACTAGTTATTAGCAATAAAAACGAAATACCTCTGCATATCAACTGGAAAGGAGTGGTTTTCTATCCTGTTTGTATGTATATTGACTACATCTGGCTGAGTGCTGCTGGAAACCGAATAATGGACTGCTTGGCCTGATCCTGCAGAGCTATTCTTAGTTTCTCAACAGATATGCTACCTGAGGGAAAAGTGCATTGTTTCTCCTCTTTTTAAAAACTTTACTACCAGCTGTCAACGTGAGATATCTGTTCTGTAACATTCAGGAAAATGGGGAAAAAATCAGATCAAAGAGATCAGTAAATTATCTCCTTATTAACCTTTAAAATGTAACAACTAAAAACTCCTACGGAAATATTTTTAAGGTTGTATTATTTAATACTACCTACTCCACATACAAATAGGGATATGTTGGAAATTTCTATATGTCCTGCAAAAATATAAGAAAACAAAACAGTGACCATCATCTTAGCTGAGATGAAGACAAAATGGTACTGTGGTTTGTAAATAGAAAACTAACCACAGGGAAGAACAATTCATTTCTACCTCAAGTGTCCAATAGCAAATTATTCCTGAAATGGATAGACCACCTATTGATTACTGGACAATGTGAATGTGAACAATGTGAATTTTATCATGATAAACTCTGACACTGTAGAGTAGGGAGAAATTTACTTTGAAGAAAAGAGGAATATCCTAGAAATTAGCTACCAATTTAAGAACCATAGTTTTCTAAGTCAGCATTGCATCTGCATTAAATAAGGTTTTTTCAGTAGTGATAAGGTTTTCTTAGGAGCCCCAGGTGGTGCAGTGGGTTAAACTGCTGAGCTGCTGAACTTGTTGACCAAAAGGTCACAGGTTCAAATCCAGGGAGCGGCGTGAGCTGCTGCTGTCAGCCCCAGCTTATGCCAACATAGCAGTTCAAAAACATGCAAATGTGAGTAGATTAATAGGTACCGCTCCAGTGGGAAGGTAACGGTGCTCCATGAAGTCATGGCGGCTACATGACCTTGGAGGTGTCTATGGAAAATGCTGCCTCTTCAGCTTAGAAATGGAGATGACCACCAACTCCCAGAGTTGGACACGACTGGACAATGTCAAGGGAAAACCTTTACCTTTACTTTAGGAGTGTTATAGCCTTTCCCCTGGCAAAGTGGGTTATGAAATTTTGGCAAATAATCATCACTGCTAGAGAGTGTGGTAAAAGGCAAAATGTGATGACCTTAATTCATACAGCAGGTATTTCCAAAGGTAAGCATGCCAGGAGGATACAGTAGACCTGCTTATTACATGAATACTGAAGGAAATTTCATTTCTGTCTAAACAGTTCTGAATACTATAGAACAGGGGTTCTCAAACCTTTTCAGGTAGGGAGCCCTTTTTGAAAGAAAAGTTTATTGAGGAGAAATTCATATATATTACATTATATATTACATATAATGTAGACATATCAAGCATGGGCAAACTTTTGGACACAGGGACCACACTGCATTTTAAAACGTGACAGATAGGCTGGGAATGATAGAGAATGATAGAGAATGTTTGTGTGAACTAATTGAAAACATCATGAACAAATTTCATTGCACACTACGCATATCTCATTTGTAGTGCAAAAAATAAAGAAATAAGAAAATATTTAAAGAACAAAATATTTGAAGAACAATTTTCACCAACATAAACTTGGAGGGGGACGAGGGGGGACGAGGGAAGCATGGAGCTCCTGACTGCTTCATGGAGCTCTTAGGGCTCCGTGGACCACAGGTTGAGAACCGCTGCTATAGAATCACTCTGGAGGATGTAGAAAATAACTAGAGAAGTGTTTTTTTCTAGCTCTCCACTGTAATTCTATGGTCAACATAAAACAAAATATCTATTGAAAGTTGACCAAGACACTGTTCATTTCAGGTAAGAAAAATAGGGTTTCAGATTACATGAAAATCATATTACACTAAAGGTTCTAGAACAGATACCTCATGTAATACATAGGACTATTGTACTGATCTCCATGGTAGGTGTAACATCTAGAATGGCTTAGTACCATAGGGAAACAACACAGAAAGACTCCCTTGTTCATATAAATAGTGCTATCCTTAAATAACATGCATTTAAAAACTCTCCTTACATTGGCTTCTAAAGGCAAGCCTATAAACAAGGAAGAAGGATTCTGGTCCTTTCCTTGCCTACATTTTCAGAATTAGGAAAGGATCACATTTTAAAATTCTCAAGCAGAATGCTTTTTCTAACAAATTTCAGCTTTCATAAAGTAAGAAAGCAGCTACCATGCAAGGTCCTGAGGAAACAGACAAAACAAGAGTAACATTTCTACAAGAAAAAATGGTCAATGGCTTTCAAGGAATGAGGGAAAGAAAGGAAAATAAAGTATTAATCTTACATAAATGCAGACATGCCATCTTAAATGGCAGATTAGTTTCTGCAACTTACCTAGTGATCCTAGTACAACAAGTATTGTTAAGATCCAGACAAGTACTCTTGAGATATATCTGATTATCACCATCATAATCATGGAAAGCACTGCAGGACAATAAAAGAGAATAAGCACGGGGATTATTATTTCTATCTTAGTCAAGAAATATGACTGCCCGAATATATCTGCACATTACTGATATGTTTGTAAACCCCATAGATTTTTGAACAAAACTGTTCAATTTCTGATTTTCCAATTGAACAAAACAACCCTGTATGAACATTTACATACCATGTTTATTTATATATCTATTTAACACAGAGATGTAGACATATACAATGAGAGAATAAATATGGCATGACAGAACTGCAAGTTTACTATCATGAGTTGCAAAAATACTGTACAACTCATGGTGAGCACAATCCAAAATGGTGCATGCAGACAGGCAGGTTCAACAAGCACTATTATTATGTCAAGTGTGAAATAAGATGATAAGATTGTGATTTTAAAAACCCTATTTTCTATATGTTATTCTTCAGTTGCGTTTTTTAAAAAATAGAGGTAATTTAAGAAGTTCTTTTTACTACAATATTCTACTTATTGAGTTTTTCATTTGTTTTAGAGCCAGAAGCTTCCATTTGTTTAGACTCAGTAGGCGCCATTGTGGCATTATAGACAAGATGCTTGAAAGACAAGCTACAATTGTTTTTTTTTAAAAAAAGCATGGAAACTCCCATTGCTTCCAAATTGTAGGCATCAGCTAGGAGACCATTGTTCTCAGAAAGAGCTTGCTAGTTATGCACACTAAAGGGAAGCAACTGAGCCAGGAAATGTAGAATAATTCCAAACTATCATATTTAAAGTAGTCTCACTGAAATCAATGGGTGAATCCATCTCTGTATGCAAGTGTATACATACACATATGGAAATATACAACATGTTGAATGTCGAAAGTATCATGAAACAGAGATCCACCAATAATATTGACAAGTCGTTGAAATGCGATTTGAAAACACACAAGTGAATATTGATAAGTGAGGGGGCTAAGGAGATTTTCTCATTTTAACTGGAATTGTCAACATTCACTGTTTTTGGCAAGATACTTTCCATTCGCCATGACATATATAAAGTACAGAAGTTGGGAACGAAAGGCTTGTAAGTAAAAGGGAATGCAGCCTGAAGTGACTGAACCTACGTAATGTTGAAAAGCATTACGAGATTATGCAATGTTAATTAAACTTAATGGCTAAGTTGATTATATAGGTTGATTATATAGGTATTAAAAGTTTTCCATTTGTATAGCTACTCCAAAATGAATGGCATTGAAGTGTTTCTTCAAAATTTAATTGCCTGTAAAATCTACTGTCCTGGTATTAGAGATAGCTGTATCAACAATTTTAGCAATATATACAACACAAATTCCAGTGTTCAAATAGTTTGATTTTTCACTGTTAAATAATGGGGCCATTAGCATGTTCTCGGTGTTAAGATCTGTTTAGTACTCATTTTAATTGAACATTTAAGTCAGGATTGGAAGTTAGAAATGTATATACATTTATAGAATATATTGATACAAGAACAAAACAAGGATTAATGCTATTAAAATTTTAATGCTATTTTCAAGTTTTCCCCATGAAATTATATTTAAAGCAATGTGCCTTAGCTTCCTCGTAAAATATATAGCAATCCAAGCTAGACAAGTTAGTTCTTATTTATGCTCTTGTCCTCTATGCTTACTTTGATAACCATGCACACAAAGTCGAGAAATCTTAAATTCAGCTGCAATAATCTATGTAATTGATAGATAAACTACTAATTAATCAATTATTAAAGGGCAATTTTATGTGACATCGAGAATAATTAGAACCCTTCCTCTCCTCTTTTTCATGCTTGCTATTATTGTTCCCCATTCTATTGCAATGTTGGCACATTTTTTTTTGAAAAAAAAGAACATGTTCACTTTTTTCTCCTTCTAATTTAAACCACTCAAGGAACATGATGTTAGTAAACACAAAGATGTACTGCCTCATCATGAAACTGCCAGAACATTTATTCTGGTGTGCATTCAAGTATACACCTCAAGAACAATATGGAATAGAGGGTCAGCGTTCACTGTTGGATGAATTTTGATATGCATCTGTGTCAACCTTCCCTGTTCACTAGAATAACTTTCTTTGGATTCTTCCACTGAAACAACTGAAAAGGTGGTAACTCAATAGGAGTAGGACCAGGTAAAAAACCCACCAATAAATCATGGTGTTAAAAAACAGAGATGCCGATTTATTTATTTATTAACAAAACTATTTGGCATTTGTTTCTATAACATGAAACATGAGAAAATAATAAAGACAACAGTCTCCTGCTAAAAATGAGTGGTAGCTTTTATTTATTAAAATTTAGAATTCTATATATTTCATGTAATAGAGTTAACAGAGCATCTTATTATATATTATATATGTGATAGTATATAGGTTTATTACAATATATCAGATAAATCTATTTATTTGTTTTATGTACAATAGTCCTCTATTGCTCCAAAGAGAGCTCAATGCGGCTTATGATGAAGGTATCCTATTCATAAAGCATTAAAAGGAAAAGCCTGTTTTAGCTCCAGAGATGGAACTGCATAATGTTCTGTTATAAACAGATGATTTGTCTACCAAAAAAACCCCCCTCAAAATTGGTTTACCAGTCTTACTTTAAATTCAAGTCCCTAACTATATTATGGTTTAGATGTCTCTGTTCACTTAGCAGCTTAAACCCAGATTAATTATGAAAGCGCATTCAAGAGCCCAACTGCAAGCCTTCTGAACTGCGTATATTGGGGAATGGGCAGGGAGAGTTGAAGGTGGCAGAGGATTTAGTGTAAGCAAAAATCCCCACATCAGTTATATATAACTGATATAGAACATAAAACATATATTCACCTTGAAAGAAAATCTAATTCAGCTGCTAGGTAGAAATGTAATTTAAAATAGTCTCCTCTAATATTTAATACTGAACATGCTTGCTTTTCAATATTGTAGGAACAGAGGATGTTCACATTCTCCTGCTGCATACTATAGAAATGGCTAAGAAGGAGAAAAACAATTACCTAGTGATAACAAGCAAAGTCCCAATATAATCTCTCTGCAGGTCATTACTCCACTAATCAGCCTGTGCAAGACACTACTGTCACTGACAAAGGTGATCAGGGCCTCTGCAAACTTGGCATAGCAGGAAATGTTCACGGGAGCACAGCGATGGAAGAATGGAATAGGTGCACTGGTGATACAAGAAAAAAAATCAGAAAAAAAATTACTCCTATGTAATATAAATGCCACATCAACACACAAATGGAAGGTGAATTGATGCAATACACTCCACCCTCATCAACACGCTTAACAAGGAGCAGTGAGATTAATGTAAAGGTGCTGCTATAAATGAGGATGGCTGTAATGGTTCGTGATGCACTTCTTAAGAACGAAGATACCCTGAGGGTGGAGTGTACATTCGGATGTTTCTCAACCTGTCATCTTCAAAGGCAAAACAAAACCCATCTCACCCAAATTAAACTTGTTTTCAGCTGCACTTTTCAAATAGAATTGCCTATTTAATTGTATTTTAAAAACCTTTGTACATTAATGTTTGTTTCTTTTTTAAAAAAAAATCTTATCTAATTCCATCTGTTATGACTGCACATAATATGGAGGTCCTGAGCTAGTTCCTGAAAGAACTCAGACTACAGTAGGCTTGCAGTTAACAGATTTGTGTAACTCAAAGATGTAATACTCAAGAGGCTGCCTTAGAGGAAGCATGGGCATAAAAGCGTAGGGTCTACTTTACATGTACAAACCAGAATCCAAACAGGCACAATGAGGTGCGGAAAGAATATCTTTTGGTCACAACCAATGTATTATATTGAATGCTTTTCTGTTGTGTCTCATAATATTCATAAGAACAGTGGGTAGAAAATAGAGATAAGGTGGGAATGGAACTAGAATAGGTCTTGGTGTATGTGCACAACACATTAGGTGGCTATACCATTCAAGCTTATATGCCCACATAATTTCAGTAGTAAAATACTAAGATACCACTGTGTTAAGATGCAAAAACCAATCTATAATCTAATGTGGACACCTTTACACAGAAATAATGACAAATGTTGAATTTTACTGGCTTTCATCCTCACATGGTATAGCTAGAAACAAAATCTGGTACCTGATTAAAACATGATTTTGTCTATTTCACAGTCCAACTGTTCAGCATTAACCCCACTCCTTTCCAAATGCTATGTCCAAAATTAGATGTGGGTTGTGGTCGCGTATCCAGGTCCTATTCCCATCCAACCTTCAAGCCCTCTAGCACCCGTGGCTTGCGCAGCCATCAATTTTTCCAAATGACTGGATAGGAATTTGCAGTTCTGAAGAAAGATTGTTTTCAGGACATCAAAAGAGCCACTACTTCTCAAAAATTAGAAATTGGGGGGGGGGGGGGGGGGGGGGAGGTGTGAGAGAGGGTGGTGATCAGCCATGGAAATCTCTCATGGAACGTCCCAGGAGGCTGCAATGGGAATCTTTTAGGACCTAAATCAAACATGGTACTGATACTACAGTGCAAACACACTAGAAATTGCTTCACTTCTCTTCTCTCCCTAGGAACTGCCTAAAATGAGCTTCAAAGACTGTCAGCACTCTGAAATAGATTTTGGGGTGCAGTAGGAAGAAAAAACCCACTTCCGCCTAGTTTTGTGGATCCAGCAACAAAAGTATAGCTCTGATTCTATAATAATCTCAATTCCATAAACATAGCTAAGCATATCGAGCCATCAGTATTTTAACATGGAATTAACTCTCACTATTGTAACTGGAACTTCCTCCTATGTTAATTATTCTCCCCCGTTTTTAATTCCATAGCCAGCTGCACTGCTGCTGTCAAAATGTATAGCAGACTGTCAAAGTCTGTCTATTTTTAATTTTCCATTTTCATTCACAAGACATTCACATTCTTAATTGGAGACTAAAATCAACTCTTTCATATTTAAACTACAATTTTATTTAACCTCCAAGTCTTTTCTCTGAATCAGTTCTGGTTGCATTTTCTTGCCAGATTAAGCAACAGTATGTGATGCCTTTGGATTCTTCAACTGGATGTATTTCAAAAACACTCCACTTTCACTTCATGCAAGCAAAGCAGAATATGCTATCCTCAACTTTCCTTCTCTGTGCCTTGTTTGTTTGTTTCCTTCAAGGAAACCTATTAAGATAGTCATTTTCTAACTGTTAATCCCAAACTGTGAAGAAATTACTACCTGCTATATCCAGATAATTTTTCAGAGTCTACATTTCTAAATAATCAAAATGCAGTTCTTAGTTATAAAGTCTTATATGAGGTAAGGCATTATTCATGCAAACAACAGGCTGCCTGGTGAAACCTAACTAAATTTACAACTTCAGATTCGGCATGGGAACCATATGGCAATATGCACATTTAAATTATTCTCTCCACAATAAAACAAAAGTCCTCCCTACAGGTCCATTGCAAACCCAAAACTATCTCTTGGGCTGGATTTCAGACAGTATGTATGCTTTGAGGGAGGAGAGGAGGCAAAGGTTTTGAATAGGTGCAGAACACTGGATTTTACCCAAGGTGTACCTTCCCAGCAAGCATTCAGACCATCTGGAGGGCTAACTCAGAGATAGCAGGGGTAACAATGTCTTTCCCTAAATAGTGGTTTGTACAAATATCAAATATGGTCCACTAATTAAGGCCCAGCAAATGCAGAAAAAAATTCTCTGTGTTCTCTATTACCTCCCTCTTCTCTTTTAGTATAGTTACTCATTATTGCCCTGAACTCCCTTTTGGAGGGGAGATTGATTATCCAGCACATCTGAAATTACCTGGTTTTATGTGTAGGAGACAAAATTTAACTCTGCAATAATGAATAAAAAATGAGGTCAGTGGTTACTACATGATGTCTTGGAATAAATGGGACTCTTGAGAATTTAGCACATGAGACCATTTTCTATTTCAGTAGTTCCGGCTTAGACGGGTGTGACTTGCACTGGCCCTTCTTTAATAAGAGGCAGGATAATACATTTATTCAGAGTGACTGTTCATTATTTTATTAATGGTTGTTGGTTATATCCAAAAATATTCTATGCCTTAATGGAACTGCAGTTCTTCCTAAGTATCATTCCTCCTTTAATAATGACCATAACTCAGAAAAGGAGTGGCTGGATATTTATATTATAATAATAATAATAATAATAGTTATTATTAACATTATTTATAGGCCGCCTTATCTCCCCAAATAAAAATCAGGGCAGCTTCCAAGCAAAAAGGCAAACATTCAGTGCCCTGGTAATAAACAAACAGTTTCAGAAAAGGCTTTCATGGCCGGAATCACTCAGTTCTTGTGGGTTTTTTCGGGCTATATGGCCATGTTCTAGAGGCATTTCTCCTGACGTTTCGCCTGCATCTATGGCAAGCATCCTCAGAGGTGAGGTCACCTCTGAGGATGCTTGCCATAGATGCAGGCGAAACGTCAGGAGAAATGCCTCTAGAACATGGCCATATAGCCCGAAAAACCCCACAAGAACTGAGTTTCAGAAAAGTCAGAAGTGCAATTTAATGTTAGCATAAAAACAGAAGCATTGAAGAATAGCATTTGTTTGGCCTATAAAACAGTAAGAAACCCAAGGAATTAAGAGTCCTCCACTTGCGATATTTTCATCTGTGGAGTCCTACCACCAAAACAGGGCATGCAAGGATCACAGAACTCACTGAAGCCTTGAAAAAAATCTTTGAGCACAAAAAGAGCTCCATAGGTGAGCAAGGTTCACCATAATCCTTGGGTAATCTCAGCATGTATGTTTCTATAGTGTTGCATGGTCTACAGAAGCTGCACAGCCTAAATATAAAACTTTGTTGATATAAAAGCTGTAGGCCTAAGGTACAAAAAGAATTTTTATGAAGAAGAATGGAAATTCTATTTAGAGATAGTTCTCATACGAGCTGCACTTTTCTTGTTCTTGTCAGAAATACAGAACATTAACTTTATTGAAACATCTACATACTTTACTGTATGACAATAGTAATTGTGAAAGATGTATGTTTAGCTTCCAACATTATGTCCATGATACTCTCAACTTTGATGAAAGCCCATTTTTTCATTTTAAAATAAAATATTCTAGTCCTCCATTCAACAGAGGTAAGTCTGGGGAGCTAGTTTCTACTTACATGCCTAAGACCAGAAGAAATCTAACTGGAAAGGCAAGAGCTTTTTCACATTTCACAGCTTAGTGTCCTTCTTACACAAGGAATTACTATCAATTTTCTCATGAATTCTACTATTTTGCAGTTAGTACAGAAAGTTAGAATAAAACCTGTTACTATTCTTATTGACATAATTGATTTAATCAAATAAAATTAGAGCAAGCAGGCATTAGAATAAATCATGAAATCTGCATAAATGTTTGTTCATGGAAGATTTCTGAAATCTATATGTAAGTTGAAAAGCTATTCGAAATTTGGCCAATAAAGAAGGAATTGAATAATAAAATGAGCTACTCATCACTGTGTTAACTTGAATCTAACACTCACTTTTTCGGCTAAGTCACCTTGCCAAAATTATGGTGTGTATTAGATTCGTGTAATAGCGTAATCTTAGTGCTGAGCCAGAGCAATAGGGGGAAGCTGCTTCAGGAGCATCTGGAGCTTCTATTTGAGGATGTCTTGTGTAATTTAATTGTCATAGCTAAATGCTCAAGACCTTGCAAAACTGTAGCCCCCATTACTCCATAGCATTGAACAAAGGCAATTGAAGTGGATTCATTCTAAGCCATAGATGCACCCCAAGGTTTTTCCCCCATTGCTTAAAGCTTTGATGTTCCAATACAATTGTTTTTTAAAGGAATTCTAAGCAAGCAGTAACTGTAATGGGCATATTACAAAGAGTGCACCTTTTGCTGCTACAAATTACGTTCGTCAGCAAATACTTTTTTTGGTTTCAGGGTTTTGAAAATTGAGGTGTGCATTAGATTCAATGGTGCATTCGACTTGAACAAATATGGGTAGATCTCTTCTCACTGAATTTTAGATTTCTTCCAAACAGGGTGCTAGACCTGAAAATAGGGAAGAGAGGAATACAACCAGTAGGTACTACTGAATTTGACTAGTGCTCATTGGAAGATGTTCCTTCTGATCCTTGCTTTGTTGTAATGCAGTAAGGTAAATTAAACTAAATTTTATGAATTGAAATGAACATTGGATTTGCAAAATCCAGTAGCTTTCAAAGAAGTAGCTGTGTTACGACCTCTTCACACAGCCCTTTTGTTTCCCCGCTGCCTTTTCTGCCATCACATGGTAAAAAGGAGAGGACAGTGCAGGTAGCTCCATTGGAGCTACCCGAACTACACTTTCCTCCCCGTAGTGGAGGAGAAAGAGCCTTTCAGCGCTTCCCCTGCACTTTGGGAGGAATGTGGGTGGGGCCTGTCTTGCACCATGATTAAAAGCAACAAAACGGGGCAAAAATATTCAGTGTGAAGAAGTCCTTAGTCTCTCACAGCATAAAAAGGAGGAAGGGAAGAGGGAAAAAAGCACCTTTAAAACTAGCTGGTGTTTATTTTAGCATGGAATTTCATATAAACCCATTTCTTCAGATGCAGTCTCTTCCTCCCCCCCCCCCCTCCTTCTTTTTGCACAATAAACCAATGCAGCATATTATTTATTCATGAGAAAATATTACAGGCAAGCAGCTCAAAAGATCAACTGCATGTAGTACAAGTCTCTATGAGTATAAAGAGGAACAGGTAATTTTGACTCCAGTTTTCACATTCTATATTGGGACAGTCAAGTACAAAATTTTAGAGTAGACAGAAAAAAACCCAAGACTGACAACCAAACCACTATCACTTGAGTGAAATACAACAAAAAAAAAAAAGAAAGAAAGAAAGAAAGAAAGAAAAAAAAAAGATCACAACTTACAACAGAAACAAAACTTTTCATGCACATGCACTAAACACTCTCTGCTCCTCTAGCTACTTCCTAGAATTCAGACCTAACAGTGCCTGTCTCCTTGAAGTGAAAAACTGATTGGTAGCAGTAAAATCAACATAGCACACTTTTAATGTATTTTTACTTTTTAAAAAGTGCATTTGTTAGAAAGGACATTTATCAAGATACCCTATGGTGTCGCTCTAACTCTAAATATAAGAATTTCAAAAATTAAGATTGGACACAGGAACAAGACATAAAGGAGTATGTTTACCTCTCTGGAACTGGGAGCTTGGGGCAAAGCTTATCAGCCCTTGGATCTGTAGTGTATTCAGATGGCTTTAGTTCATAGCTACATAAAGTAGAACCTGTTTAAAGAACAAAAAATAAATTTGAGAAATTTCTTGATGAGAAATGAGACCGATATTGACACAAGAAGCAAGAACATTAGTTGTAACACTCCACTCAGTAATAACAGATGCAGTTTAAAACAACTCTGTAATGGGATTCCAAAGGAGATGTGGGCAAAACGTGGTTCCCTAAAGGCAGTTTTCACAGCCCTTAACACCAGATTCCTTTGTTTGTCCACCTGCACATCTCCCTGTGACTTACCTCTTCTAGAGGTCTCATGGCACTTCTTAATAAAAAAAAATCATTTTATCCAAAACTAGCTGACCTCTGGCCATTTCTAGTTTTGTTTCTTCTTCTTCTTCTTCTTCTTCTGGAAATTTTGGAAGTCCACATAACTCCAGAGGACCACAGGGTGGAAAACTGGCCCCAGAATCCCTTTGAATTGGTCATGTCAGGAAAAAATTATTTTCATTTTCAGAAACACTTCAGTTAAACACTCAGTTTGGTTTTTTAAATAATTAAATAAATCCTGGAATCTACCTGAAGGAACCTAGTGTGACGTACTACAGGTCTCATTCCATGCACAGAGCTTATCAGACACTAAGGATTCTCATAATATGTAGCCTGGAAGTTCTGATAATCTACCATGCTCATTATTGCCACTGGACTGAGCAGCTCCTTTTCAGAGGCTCTTACAAGCATCCTCCATAAGGTGAATATAATAAACTCTTTTAGACCAGTGAGAGAAAAAGACAAGATATACAATTTCTTCCATGGGGACAGTGTGTTTCAGAAACCATGAAATGGAAGTGAAAAATTAAAATCCTTACATGTTTACTGATAGGTTTCAAGAAATTTAAAGATGAAAGGAAAAATTAGGGGTGCTTAGCTGGGTCTGAAGACCTCAGGTGAGGACTTTCAGTAAAAATGGTCAGCAGAAACAAGACTGGACTTTGGAGGGTTGGCCCTCCCACATAGTGACCAGAATATCTTTTGCTTTTATAATCCCTGCCTATAAAAGCAAGTGGGAAGACCAACCCAACATACAGGATGTTAGACTCTTATCTGCTGGGAAATGAAAATATTGTTATCTCCTGCAAAAAGCACACAATAGATCACAAAAGAGCACGGGATTGGATAATTACAGTTATGGAACCTTTCATTCTGATAGATGGGTTTGGGCAAGTCATACTCAGTGTCAAAGGAAGGTTAGGCAAACCTTCTTTGAAGAAATCTTGAAAAAAATATTGTGATAGGGTCATCTTAGGGTTGCTGTAAGTTGGAAACAAACTTAAAAGCACACAGCAGCAAGCTGTGTTTAAGCCCCTGACCATATGGAGTTAAACAAGCATTGTTCTCCTAAATCATAATATCCTCTATGAAGTTGTTTAAAACCATAACTATAAATTGATACCAACAGGAAGAAAGCCTGCTAAAAGTACATTTAACATTTAGCCACAGAGTTCACATTGCATTGCATCATTTATTGCCACACTATATCTTAGCAGCACTCTTTTTTATCACCTGTAAAGCCTCAAGGTCTACTGTGCCCAACTGGAAACAGCTATATTTCTGATTGTAAAGAAACCATTGAAAAGGGTCCAACATCTCTGTGAATAGCAATAAAATCTTTAGAATTTACCATTTCTCCAATGTCTGTTTCAACTGAAAACATAAAATAATCCCCAACAAACACCTGTAATTTGCAAACCACTAAGAACAACAATTTCATACATTCTGTCCTTTGAGGATCATTTCTATATTTATGTATGATGCCTAACACAAAGACTCTGAATGGATTTTGGGTGTATGCACTTGTGTTGATTCTGAGGTATATTTTGATTTGTATGTGGTATCAGAATAATTTCAGATTATGTAAACCAAGAATACAGCCCATAACAGGCCAGTAATGAGGCCATGGGACCCTGGATTTCTGTGGACAGTTGATAACATTTTTCCATTACTAGTTTTTGACTGATAAACTCTCAAGGGGCACTAAGGAGCTCTCAAATATATTATAAAGTCCCTAATTCAGAATGAAATTAAATTTGACATACGACATAGAGACTAACAACATAGGGATTTAAATTACGAAAATCATCACATGGGCAGGAGGGGATGCAAAAAAAAAATCAACCAAGACAGAGTACTACCTCAAAATATAATCTACTACAAAAACAATAGAATACTATGAGTTCTCACTTCCAGGACCCAATTAAAATCACTTGAATTTATAATCCATTAGCGAACATTTTAGATAGAAATACATCACTCTCGCAGGACCTGGGAGGTAAGGTGTAACTTGTTACAGCACCCTCTTACCTAAAACAGATGCTCAACAGAAGATCCTGTAACAGACTGAGGTGCCAATTTTGGCTTTATATCTACTCTGGCAAAGCTAATGCAGATTCTAACAACATCACTTACAACATTAGGGATTATACACCTGTTCATCTTCCAATATGATATATGTCTTCATTTGCTACCAAAACCCTACAGCATTCTAGAGGTCAGGGGTGGAGCACAGACTTCCAAATGCTTTTACACTGCATCACTCATAAAGAGAACCAATGCACCGAGACAAAACAGACTGATGGGCCAGAATTGCCCACCTCTGCTATGTATCAAAGAAGAAATGGACAAAAACTAGAAATGGTAATAAAGCAGGAGTGGGAAATGATTTCAGCCTCCCAAGGAATTCTGCCACTACTGTTAAAAGAAATTTGAAGAGACATCATAATACGAAAAAGCTAAAGTACATCATATTCTTTAGAATCTATACTTGTACTCTATACAGGCAATCCCCGAGTTATGAACAAGATAGGTTCTGTAGGTTTATTCTTCTTACTGTTATTATCAAGTTGAATTTATTTGTAAGTCAAAACACATACATTTTCAAAAGTAACTCCAGCCATACATACATATACATATATACATACATATATACATACATATAAGATTTGGACAGCCCAGAGAAGGGTTAAAACCCCTGTGGTGTTTGTTTTACTGTTTATGCCTCTGTTCAGAAGATTTTGCCTCACTTTCTGTTTCTGTGATAATAGGCTTTTGAAAATGTGGCTTGTTGTGTAAACAAGCAATGGAGAGAAAGCTCCAGTGGAGACACCTTTCCCTATGATAACTCTTTCAGGAGCTGATTTCCCATCCTAGGGGTAGATTTTAGGCCTGGGCGGTTTCGTTCGTTAATTTTGTAATTCGTTAAATATTCGTTATTTTTAGCAATTACAAAATGATTTCAAAACATATTTTCAAACCCGGAAGGGTTTTTCAATATCGAAACGGCATCCTCCATCCTTTTTACGAGCTTCCGCCCGTTTCGGAAATGACGTTTAAGGGATGGAGGATGCTGGGTGCCCTGGGAGCCAATCCGGCGCTCCCAAGCACCGTGGCTGATTGTGATTGGGCGGGCTGCCCTTTAAAAGCGGCTCCGCGTGGCCGCATTGCTCATTGCGAAGGCGAGGGAGGAGACGGGAGGTTCGGGAGGGAGGCTTGGCTTGGCTTGGATTCATTCATTGCTTGCATTCATTCATTTCTTGCTTTCATTCATTGCTTGCATTCATTCATTCACATTGATTCATTCATTGTTGTTGGGAGAGCGACTTTCTGTATATATTTCAGATTTCAATATTAATGTCAAAAATACGTAGTATGATTTTACATAGGATTTGTGCTACATTAGAACAGTCAAGACAAATATCACTTAAGTAAAATAAACATTAAATATTAAATAACCAGAAAAATAAAATAAGGTGTAAACACTAAACTAATCTGGGAATCTGCTATTGCAACACATCCAGACCTGGGCTGGGAGCAGCGGGGAGGCTTTGCCCTGTTTTCACCCTACAACAGGGCAGGGAAAGCTTTTTGTTAATTTTCCATTTTTAAATATTTCTGATAAATATTTTTCTTTAATTCTTCAAAAAATTCAAAAAATAATCTAAAAAAAGAAAAGAATCTTGTGTGCCTGTGTGTGCGTTTCTCCCTGTCCTGTGGCTGTGTTCGCTCCACAACAGGGCAAGTTTTTTGTTAATTTTCCATTTTTAAATATTTCTGATAAATATTTCTCTTTTATTCTTCAAAAAATTCAAAAAATATCTAAAAAAAGAAAAGAATCTTGTGTGCCTGTGTGTGCGTTTCTCCCTGTCCTGTGGCTGTGTTCGCTCCACAACAGGGCAAGTTTTTTGTTAATTTTCCATTTTTAAATATTTCTGATAAATATTTCTCTTTAATTCTTCAAAAAATTCAAAAAATAATCTAAAAAAAGAAAAGAATCTTGTGTGCCTGTGTGTGCGTCATTTTAACGAATCGATTCGTTATCACCTTAACTAATCGACCCCCCGCACCAATAACGAAGTTTCGGAAGTGATTTGCGCATGCGCGGGGGTCCGCCATCTTAACGAATCGATTCGTTAATATTAACGAAATTGCGTAAATACTGAACTTTTTTAAAGGAAAGTTTTGTAATTATTTTAAATATCGAAACACAAAAAAACCCCAAATACAAATCAATTTTAGAAACAAATTTTTGCGTTGTTACCCAGGCCTAGTAGATTTCTCTCCCTGTTGTCTTACTCCCAGAAATCCCAGCAAGTTTACCAGTTGTTAGAATTTCTGGGAGTTGAAGGCCAAAATACCTGGGGACCCACAGGCTGAGGACCACTGCACTAAAGTATATGCCATAATAGATTTGTCAGTTTTTAAGATGGCATAGCACTTTTGTTTTTTGTAGTAACAGACTAACAGTCACTTTATTGAACTCAGTTATCAAATGACAGCTTCTCTCCATCATCCTTCCATTGAGAAGCTGAAGTGCAATTAAACTCATAGCCATGTGTATATTTTCAGCATCATCTATAAATATGTAGTGATTTAAACTTCTCTTCAGATAGTGATCAAACTCAGACCCAACCTACCTGGAATGTATTCAAAACAAAGATTACTCATGAAAAAATAACTAGCTATCATCACAACATTTTGTTCTTTAATGTAAGATCATATA